TTTAGACCCTTTTTGACAATTTTGTAGATTCACCAATAATTAATTAAACCCTACGGAAGTTATTAACCTTGAAGTTTATGAAGTCTTAACTGAGTTTATAAAGTAAAATATTGTCGATTTTTGGTCTGTTTCTTATTAATTCTTTCATTGTTTTTCTATTAAATATATCAACTTTTAACAAAAATTTCTTTAAAAAAATTTTTATTAAAAATACTAGATACAAAAAAAACATTTTAAAAGCTTGTCAAAGTGCGCGTCTTGTTTCACAATTAAAAAATTGATTTTATCCTCAAAACAAAGTCGGGGACTTTTAAATAAAAGCAGTTAAAGCCACGTTAAATGCATGTTGACAAGAAATGCTTTTTCTTTCTTTTAAAAGTTTATTTGGTGGTAAATGAGGCGAGAAAAATAAGAAAAGAATTTTGTTTATAAAAATGTTTAACTTGTTTTTATGTTTAAAAATTTAAAATATTTTTATTTTGTTTTTACTTTAACTTTCACTAAAGTAAATTTTTGTTTTTATTTCTTATAAATAGAATATCTCAAAAATATTTTTACACGTTTGGGAAGTTGTTTTAGAAATTTTAATTCCTGTTTCCAATAAAAGATTAGGGATATCTGTTTAGGTAATAATATATTATATTTCTATATTTAAATACCCAATTAAATAATTTAATGAATATATTTTTAATAATCTACCTCTATGATTAAGAATTATTTTTAAATTTTAAAAATTAAATTTTTTTATAAACAGTTATGTATTAGTAATCATTTCTTTCACTAAATTTTACATATTTTTCTTTAACAAATACGGATCGGTAAATATTTTTATGACTTTATTTCTAAATATATAAATACTTTAAATATTAAAATCAACTATAAAAACAATATTTCTTTCTCTCAAAAATATAACTGTTTTTGATTATTTAAACAAGCAAAATCTTCTCAATTTATTTTTGTGTAAAAACGTAATCAAAAAAATTTTTTAGGCTCTCATTTATGTAATCCCCCCCTCCTCCCTTTTTTATTATTAACGATCACAAATAACTAAAATAATATAGCCCCACCCATTCCGCCAATTTTTTCAATCATCTAAATTCATTATTTATTTTATTTCTGTATATCAACCTGCGATTCTCGAAAAGAGTAAAAAGAAATAAAAAAAAAGATTTTTTATAGAGAGTATATTTTTTATTATTTTATTTATTTATTGTTATAATTGTTTACTCAATTGACAAATATTTTGGTAAGACAAGTAGAGATGTAAGTGGGGTTGTCGATTCTGGGATATCCGGAACTAACTCGGAAAAATCAACGTTCTTGTAGCAACCCTATTTTTAAGACTTTTCTGAAGGATATTATTAGTGAAATAATTTTTGTTTGAAATAAATTAAGTAAAATAAAATATATTTAAAGAAAATTTATTTAATCGAAAAATCTATTTTAATTAAATTCTGAATATTCTGTTTACTACTAAAATTGAATTTTAATTTAAAGTGAACGATTTAAATATTTTATTTCACTAATTTATTTCGATTCACTGAAATATTTTATTAAATTTGGTTTATTATTTTTTAAAGTATTTGTAGAATTTATTAAAATACATACTACATAAAGCAGTTTTGGAATTTAATTTTAATTAAAAAAAAATTTTTTTTAGTTTTTTTATTTACATTAATCAAATATTAAAATAATGGATTAATTTAATTTTGGATTAATTAACCATATATTTTCGAGGATTCTTTCGTTATTTATTTTCCTTCAAATATTTTTTGTCATAAAAATTTTTTAAAGAATTTTTTCGTTAGTTATTTAATTATTTCATCTCTTTTAAATAAGTAATAAACTTAAAATTTCTGAAAATTCTCAAAAATTTAATCAACTAAAAATAAATATTTTTAAAAATATGTATCTATTTATAACAAACCCAATTTTGACAATATTTAGTTTCTTTAATTTTCAAGTGTTTATTTTTTAATTTTGAAAATTATAGATAGGTGTATTTTCTATTTCTTATTTTGTTTTTAATTTTTTTCAAAACATTTTTTAAACAAAATTTTATTTAAAAATATCCTGATTCAATTAAATAACAATTTAATTTTTTAATTTAAAGTTTTCCTTCAAAATATGTATATTTGAACATTTTTTAGATAAGAAATTCTTTAACAATTAAATAAAAATCAAAATACATATTAAACAACAAAACTCATACACTTTAATTACTAAAAGTTTTTTTAATTTTAAAGTTAAATATTTAACGTATATTATAATTAAATTGTTGAAACAAAAATTTAAAAAAATATTTCGGCAAAAGTGATTTTTTGAACAACTCTAGAGTCAAAACTTGGGGGTAGTCTTAAAGTTTATTGGCATTTGTTTTTAGGCAATTTCGTTTTATTTCGCATTTCGTTTCAAATTTTTTAAAATTTTTTTGTTAAATAACTATTATTTTCGGTAAGACACAATTGTATAAATTTTCTGTGCTTAAACTCTTGTGAAAGTTGAAAAACTAGGAAATTTCAGGCGGTCTTAAAGTTTTTTGATTCACTGTATTTTTACTATTTAGGTATTTATAAATTAATTATTTTGTTAATTATTTTTGGTTGTTTGTTATTATAAAATTATCAAATTGTTTATTAAATTTTTTCTATTTTTTCCCTCAATAATTACATATTTTAAAGAAGTTTTTGTCCTTTTATTTTTTCAACATCTTTATATTTTTTTGATTTCCTTATACTAATTCGAGAAAAGAAATTTAAAAAACTATTTTCTCAAAAATAAAAATTAAAATAATGTTTGTGTGAAAATAATTTTTTGTTAAAGTTTTGTTCGCCTAACAATTTTTACTAAAAAATTTATTTATTTTTAGCTATCCGTATTTAATACTAAAATAATATTTTTTGTACTCCCCAAAATAAAAAAAATATTTTTTTCAATGCTTGACCATTATAAATGGCAGCTGAATAGATAGAGAAAGATTATATGTATGTATAACCAAAAATTCCCCCCCCCCCCCCCTTTAATCGTTATATTGCGCGCTCCGCTCTATTTTTCAAATATGGGGCGGAAAAAGGAAATTATTTAAAGCTTTTTATTTTTTATTATTAATATTTGTTCATACAATTTAGAAAGCCTGGATATTTTATTTTACTATTTTAGACTTAAATATTAATTTTATATCAATTCTTTCCTATGTATATTTAATTAAAAATTTGTGATTTTCTTTTAATTATTAATTGTATATTTTTCATTTTAAATGCTTAAAGGGAAACGGGAATTTCTTGAATTACGTAAACCATCAAGCAATTACATTATAATAAATTGCTTGTTACTTAAATAATTTACATAATTATTTGTAAACAATAATTTATTTAAAAATATTTTGTATGCAAAAATTGTAAAGCATTAAAGGCACTTTCCACCCGACTTCATGGTCATCAAAAAAAACTTTTTTTTATTGATTTAGCCTTCCCTCAATAGTGGTTGTCAACAGCGTAAAATTAGTATAGAATTGCATGTGCAAGGCCGAAAGGACATATATATGTATTCACAAATCCTTTTTATTTCTCATTCCGCTCATTTTACACTTTTTACGTCATCTTATAGTTAAGGCAATTCTTAATGTAAAATAAATTTTTATTTTAAAAATTGTAGATGACCTGCTTTTGGCAAAATATTTTAGGTTTTGAAAATTATTGCGAAAAATGACAACATATTCCGCAAATTCCAACATCCAATTTCCATCCTTTTCCAATTTAAAGATTAATCAAATTGTGATCTTTAAATGACAACCTCCCTTCCATGTCATTCACCGTAAATCCCCTTAACATCTCAAAGCAATCCCTTCAACAATAAGTCCCTCAATCGAGGACTTATTGAATAATTTACAAATAAATTATAATAATTACAATAAAGCACTCTGGCAAACATTACCTCAAATGTTATTGAAATTCTTTTTACATTTTAATTGTGTATTCCTAATTAACATTAATAAATCTTATTGTCCCACGTATTTGACCGTTTTTATCTTTAAAAATATTTTTATCAACAGTTTCAAAGTAACAACTTGTTTTTAATTTTCACTCAATTTTAACAAATACCCCCAAATTCATTGACAGAATTCACAAAACAATTTTTTTTATTTTCGCCCAAAAAATATTCACTCGTCGATTGGTCCTTTTACATCTTTTTTCTTCTTCTTCTTCTCAAACAAGCCCTCTAAAATAACAACTCTTTTCATCCGCCCCAATCGTCGATTGCTCGTGACACTCTTACATTTTTACATGTTATATACACGTACACTAATAAGTTTTTAAGAGAATCTCTTCAGTGCGCGAATTTTCTGTTTTCTTTTTGATTGTTTTTTTCGATTTTAAATTTCGTTAATTGCTGAAATTTTGTTATTTTCAATTTTTCTTTATTTGCAGTGAAAAATAAATAAATGAAGGTGTTTACAGTTGGGCTGGATCAAAAGCCCGTTGAAGAAAATAAGGAGAAGACTGGTATGTTTATAGTATTTTTAAAATTTTTGTAATCAGCCCTAAGATCGAAATCATTAAAGGCCGTATATCTGTTGATTATCTTTGGGTATAGATAACCGCTATCTTTACGGTCTATAAAGTTTTTAATATTGTAATTGGCTTAAGCGTACGGTTGGGGGCAATCTAAAAGACATTTGACTGTGTATTAAACCTTTTAATAAAGCTGATCCGATCAATTCGGTTCATTAGATAAAGTCTATATTAATCAGGCCCATAGCCAGGATTTTTTTCGGGAGGGGGGCCAAGGGTGAAAAATTTTTCTGCGTCAATAATTTTGAGAATTTTAGCAAGCCCCCTGGCTACGGGCCTGATATTAATAACATAGTTATATATCAATAACATAGCCATCCCTCTGATGATTAATATTCATAATCTGAAGTATATAATTGAATTTCTAATATACTTTTAGACTCCCCTCCACCCGGCTATTCAACAACTGAAACCCGCATTCCTCTTCCAATGGGGCCTGAACTTCCACGTCCATCGCTTCCAATACCGCCTCCACAACCTATTATTGTGCGTAAATCTCGTGGTTATAAAGGAATCTTGCTTGTTATGCTTTCCGTCTTCGTTATGGCTATTTTTGCTCTTGTCCTTTCTGAGATGGCATATAGTCGCCAACGAGATGAAAACTATTTTAAACTCCGTTGGGCTGAATTAAAACAACGTTTTGGTTATGAAAATGATGGAAACGTTGATTACTATACACAGGCAGCTAATGCTATTAGTGATAAATTGCTTAGTTTGACTAAGAGGTTGGAAATTTGTCAAAAAATCATTTCCTTATCCATAAAAACTTTTATTCCCTTCTAGCAATGAAATCCAACTTCCACGTGTCCCTCAGTCAGCGTCTCTCGAGGAGGAGACAACCAGCAGCTCAACAACTCAGGACACCCCTGTAGTAGCTATTGATACTTTCCCAATGGCTCCATCAAAAATTGGCAATTCTGCCGATTCTTCAATTTCCCGTTCTTCACAAACATCAGATGAAGTAGAACCTCCACATCCTTTTTTCGGTTCCGGCAATTTTAATGGAGCTTTTAGTCAAATACGTGATGCACGTCTTAAATTTCTTCGAAATATTTTACAGAAAATTAAACAGCATGCCGAGGATATTGGCTTTGATGGAACTATGCAGGCATTTAATTTCAAATTTCTTTACTAAAATAAAATCATTGAAGGTTTCAATAGTCGAAGTTGAGCCCCAAAATAGTGACAGTAGCTCTACATCAAATGAAGATAATAACAACAACAATAATTTATTATCTAACGGAAATTGGCCTTCAAGTATTTTCCAACGTCCCCAACAACAACAAGTTCTTCAATTCCCTCAATCTTCTTCTGCTCATTTCTTCCCTCACCCACGCCCATTAGTTGAAGATTTTAAGGTTTAAATGGTCAAAAAAATTAATTTATAAATATTAATATATTAAAGAATTCTCGCTCTTTCCTTGATGGATTTGGTGAAATGCACCAACCATCTTTGTTTATGCAAAATAATCAAGTTGGGGAACAAGAAGAGCAACAACGCCCTCGTTTTTTCTCTCCATGGGCACTTCAGCAGAATGAATTACCATCATCACATCCAATAATGCCATCTGGGGATATGCAACAACAACAGCAAATACCTTCCTTTATTGACAAGTTGTAAATAAATTTTAATAAAATTCTTCTAAAATTTTTTTTATTTTTAGTCTTCGCTGGCCAAGAATTAATGGATTCCGTCAATCTGCCCCAGAAATGCTTTTCTTCCACCCTTTCTTCCAACCACAACAACAACAGCAACAACAAATGAATATGCGTTTCCCTCCTCCACCTCCTCCCTCTTCGGAGTGGGCTCATCCTCAACAAAATAGCTTTGGATTTGGTGGAAATTCTGGAGCTTTGCCTCGTCCTTCATCTTTTGAGCATTGGAATAATGGGGTATTCCAACCACAACAAAATCCAATGCCCCAACAACAACAACAAATTCCTTCAAGTATGGGAATGATGGGTGGACGTCAAATTGAACAACAACAAGTGCAACAGCAACCTCCACAGCCCCAACAACCACAGGTAATATAATTCTTTGTCCCCTATATTTAAATAGTTTTTATGTGACATTTTTATATTTGTCTGGACTTAAAAAATTTTCAATTTTCAGCCTGAGGCAAAGCTCTCTGCACCATCTGTTGTTATTGGCGATAGTGGAGAAGAGAAATCTCAAGTTGTTCAACAACCAGGACAACAACCACAACAGCCAAAACAACCAGAACAAAAAGAATCTTCCTGGATGACTCCAGATTTATTGCCAGCCTGGTTATTTGATAATCTCTCCTCTCGTAAATCAAACGCTGCTGGAGGCCCTCCATTGCCTCAACAACCCGCAGAAATGGCTCCTCCAAAATTCCCTTCTGTTTCAGTTATTGAGAATAACCCTTCTGGAAGTAAAAGTGAAAGTGATTCAAAATCCTCAATTGATGAGGGAAATAGTCGAAGCGACGAAACTGAGAATACTCCAAGCAGACTCTCAGCTGATGCATTGCCCGTTGAAACACCTAAAGTTATTGACATTGCACATGGAGAGATTGGAAAGATAAACAACAACAAGGATGATAAAGATGATGATAAAGATGACACCATTGGAAATTCTCACCAACCAGAAGAAGTTATTGAGGTTGATGCTGCTCCTCAATTAAATGAACAACAAACTGAACAGAAAAATGATGAACAGAAAAATGAACAAAATGAATCTAAAGATCAGAAGGAAGATCAACCAAAAGAACAGAAGGAGGATGAGAAGACTGAGGCAAAGCCAGTAAATGTTCCATTGCAACAACAAAAACTCTTCCCGGAAATGCCTTCTGTTTTCTTCCAGGTTTTTAAGTTCTCCCATTTATCTTAAGAATCTATTTCCCTCAAATGGAAAATTTTTTGATAAGTTACTTATTTAGATAACCTCTTAAGGCTGAAATTTCTTACCTAGTAAATTGAGGGTATCAATTGGGCATCTCTACAACTTCTGTCTAACCAATTTTTAAAGAAACTAAATTAATCGTATTCGACTTTATTTTAATTTTATCGCTTGAGCAGCTTCTTGTAAAATTAGAAAGCCCCCCCCCCCCCCCCCCAACTAAATTTTTAATTTATTTAAATATTTGTAAAGGTTGATGACCCTGCTAATGATCACCAAGCGGCGGCAATTCAGCCTGCACAGGACAATCTCCATTTAGCAGAAAGAGCATAAAATATTTTAAAAATATTATTTTTTAATTTGTGATTTTATTTTTTATTTAATACATACATTTCTTTAAATCAAACACCACATGGCCTTTTGACTAAATTTAAAATCAAAAAGAAATTCCAAAAAAAATTCTCGTTTAAATATCTTTATTCCACACATATATACGTTATAAACTCAAACATACTATGTATTTGGTTTGTATTTTAATTTTAGTATAAAATTATTTTTTTTATTTATCTAAGAATCTGTTTAAAGAAACAAAAAATTAAAAAATAAACAGAACAATTTGTTAATTTAATCCTTTCGGACATTCAAGATATTGTTGTTACCTATTAAAATATTAAAATTACAAGATCTAAAATATGGAAAATTAAGTAATATTTATCTATAAGAGAGTATTGTTGCACAGACAAGGGATTATCTACTCTTGTTTCTGTCATCGCTTTACAAAACTTCATATTTTGGTCCAGTCAAGACATATCTGGCTTAAAATATTCCTATAAAATTTATCACTTTTTAATTTTATTTAAAACTTATTCCCTCTATATTTTTTTATTTAAAATTCCATAAATGCTCTCACCTGTCTACTTATTCATCAGCTTCTCCCTTCTCTTTCACTTAAAATTCGATGGAAATTTGCCGCGAATTCGCGTGTGAAATTGATTGAGAAATTTTTAAGAGAGGTGAAATAGACGAGTGAATAAATCCTCTAAAAGCATTCATAAATTTTAAATTAATTTATTAAACTTTTAAAACTCATGTTGTAATAATTATCAGTTAAATTAAGTTAGGATTTAAGAATTTATAAATTAGAAATTACCTATCTGACTTTCTGTTAAAAAGACTGTGTCTTTCTAAACGACACCGATTTTTAAAGCTATAGTATCTGAGCTCCTATGTTTTCTGACCGATCACAGATGATAATAATAATAATAATCAAATAATCATTATGAGAAATAATTTTCCTCATTCCCCCAATTAACTATTAAACCTCAAAAAATAAAACCTGATTTACTTCTAAATTACCCCTTTAATAATTTAAAAAGATATGTAAATATTAAGTTCTTAAAAGACTGTGTTGTGATATATCGGAGAAATCCTCCCTATCCTTCCTAAACAATCAAACACCTTTCAGTATTTTGCCTTGTTTTAGTCACCAATTTTTAATTTAAATTACTTTAAATTGAATTTATTTTTTAATTAAAAAATAATTTAAAAAACAATGAGTAACAACAACAATGCTTCTGGTAACTCAAGAATGAGCGAACTTTTTGATCAATGCGATCGTGGACAGAAGGGTTATCTGACTAAAGAAGATTTACATCAAGTTTGCCCGCAACTTTGTGATGAAGAAATTGTTTTTATTTTTTCTTGTTTGGATACTAACAAGTTTGATTCTTGTTTAAATTTGAAAATAAAATTATTTTTTTAAGTTCGGGGTTTATTGATAAAGAGGAATTTTGTGCTGGCTTTGAAGAAACTTTATTTAAAGGGGAATCACGTGGTTTTGGTGGAATGCATCGTAAAATTAGTTCGAACGAGTATTATGGGGATGCTCCAGAGGAAAGATTGGGAAGTCAAGGAAGGATGGAAATAGTTGAAGAAGATATAGAAAATGAAGTAGATGGTGAAGGAGGAAGTAATAATGAAGAAGGGACTAGTAAAGGAATACAAAGACGAAGGCCTAAACCTCCAAGACTTACAAAAAATCAGTCATTAAGAGGACCACCACAAATGACTTTGGATATTCCTTGGTAGTAAATTAAAATTAAAAAATCAAGAGATTAATAAGAGAGGGTGGATTAAATCTGCTCTTCAATTAAAAATACCCAATCCCGAGTAAAACCGACTTTGTCCCCTCTCCAAAACTATGATACATAGTACAAGATGTACTCTTATTTTTTATAATTTATTTTATAGTAAGGATGAAGTTCTACAGCTTTATGAGGAGCTCCAATCCTCTGGCGTGCCACAAATTATGAACCGATTTGAGGAAGTCGTAGGGAATTTATGTCGAGAAATAGACCAAAAACGCGATGAAAATGAAAAACTTCATCAACAACAAAGAGTGTAAAGAATTTTTAATTTTTATATTTAAAAATATTTTTTAAATTATTTCAATAGTGAACGAGAAAATTATAATAAGAGAATGCAGGCACTTGAAAATGAGATAGACCAGCAATTGTTAATAGCTGAAAAGAAGGCCCGAGAGGAGGTGATTAATTAATAATAAGTCTGTAATAATATTGAAATAGTAGCTGGATTCGATATTTTAACTTTTTTAGTCCATATTATATATAGATAATTTGGGTATCTTGATTTTGATTGGTTTGATTTTTGGATTTTTTATTAAGTCGGAGAAATCATTAGGAATAAATAAATATTTATTTTTCAAATTCAAACAGGAACGCGAAAAGTTGGCCAAAGAAAAGGAAGAACTAAAAGAACGTCTTGAATCTGAAATGGCCGAACTTCAAGGAAATATTGAACATTTACAAAAAATGGAAAAAATGTTGAAAAAGGAAGCACAAAAGAATGGAAATCAAGAAACTCTAAAAGAAAAATTGGAGGTAATTTTGTGGAATAAAATAAAAGTTTTAGTTGAATTTTGATAATTTTTTGATATTTTTAATTTAAATAATTATTTTAAAAGGATATTGCCAGAGAGAATCGAACATTGAAAAATAATTTGGCAGAAAATCATTTAGAAATGACTTTAATTAAAGCAGAATTGGCTGAAATTAAATCAGAATATGAGAATAAAACACTCTTACAATCTCTTAATGATCATAGCCAACCTAGTGCTATTGAAGCTGAACAAATACAAAGACAACTACAATTACTTTAGTAAATATTTATAGAAAAACATTTTTTATATTTTTTGTTTATAGTGATGCTAATAAACGTCTCCACGATACTAATGGGAATTTACGTGATGCACTTGATCAGAGGACTTCGGTTATTAAGCAAATGCATATGGTCAGTGTTTTGTCACTCAAAATAAATAATTGATATCTAAATATACCTATCTGATTAAAGTCCATTATATTGAGCGTTATAGTCTATTACAGGAGGATTACCTAATATTTAGATGTCCTTTACTCACTCTTATCTCTTTATCACTTAGCTACATCAGACTCCATCATTCGGCACTTATTTAACACCTTATTCTCGACATGACTCTGCAACTTCTTATCCAGATGGCGGTTCTTACTCTCCTGCTTCTCACCATCTCCCTAATGCGACGACAATTAATGATGACGACAATGGTTTGTAAATAGGGGGGAAATATTATTAAGGAAAGGAGAGAGAGATTAAGAGAGAGGGGGGGGGGGTAAAATCGAATTGTCTAGCGATCACGAGAAAAATATTTTTATTGGGTGATTAAAGATTAATTAAGAGAAATAACTGTTCAAAAGCTTTTTCAAATTTTATTACAAGGCAATAATATACAAAATTTATTTTTAACTTTGAAAATTATTTTTCCCTAATTTATTCAACAAAAATGGAGATAAATAACAGCAATTATTGGAAACAAATATATATTCCTCCATGGGACCTCTTAGCTAATAAACCTCCCCGCCAACATTTTGGCACCTCAGACAAATTTTCTCAAGACTCAGGATTCCCTCAACGTGGAGGCTGCTCACGCACTACATCCTCTTCTGATTTGGAATTATTTCGCTGTGCTTCTGTGGATGCTCAATCAACTATGACAGGTGGACTAGACCCTCACCAACAACATATGTTAATGATGAGGCAATTTCCGCCTGGCTCTAATATGATGAATGGAATGGTGAAAAAATTTGATTTTATTTAAAAAGTGCATTTAATTGCCAGACAAAAATTATTTCATAAATTAAAAAATATTTTCAAAAAAAAATCAAATTTTTTTGTTGATTAAATAAATCTCTTATTGGAAGCCAATTTTAGCCTTGGAATTTATGAATGATTTTTTAAATTAAATTCTTTAAAATTTATTTTTAAAAAATATTATTTTGCAGTGCATTCAAGAATTTTCGGGTACCCCAGATAGAACATTCCGTGTTGTAATGTGTGGTGATGCTTCTGTTGGCAAATCTTCAATAATTATGCGAATTATTAAAGGAGCATTCCAACCTAATATTGCCAGCACTTTGGGTAACATTTTAAAGGAAAATGTAAAAATTATTTTAAATAAATTTAAGGAGTTGATTTTCATGTAAAAAGTGTTAGAGTTGGTACTCAAAATATAGCTGTACAATTATGGTGAATTTAGAAAAAATAATTTTTTTTTAAATTTTATTTTTAAAGGGACACTGCCGGCCAAGAAAGATTCCGAAGCCTTTGCAATTCTTATTTTAGACGGGCTGATGGAGCTATTCTTGTTTATGACTGCTCTATAGATCGTTCATTTTTACGTATTCGTGACTGGATTGAAACAGTGAAGGTCGTAAGTGTATTTAAGTTGTTTGGTGACTGGAATTGAGATTCTCGGAACCATGATTCCCAGTCTAAAAAACTTCCTTCTCTTGCATTTAACTCTTCAATCTTCCCCTAATCATCCCCCTTTTTCTCAGTCACTATTCAAAATTATTTTTATTTTTCTTAAATTCCAAAAATGAATAAAAATAAATGAAAAAAGGATGCACAGGATTCAACAATGAAGGAAGTGCCTATATTGTTGGTTGCCAACAAAATTGATTTGCGCAATGCTCCAGGTGCTCATGAAAATGTTTCTAGTTTTGTTTCAAAAAAGGAAGGAGAAAATTTGGCCGAGGTAATATTCAAGGCCTTTTTTAAATAAATATTTTGCTGTTTTTTTAGTTATTGTCTACCGATTTTATTGAAACTAGTGCTTTAGATGGAACTAATGTCGAGACTGCTTTATTACTTCTTGTTGGGTTTGTTTTTAAAAAAATATTAATAATTAAAAAAATAATTATATAGTGCAATGATGAAATCGGAAGATGACCATTTAAAACAAACTGCGTTAATATTACAAAGTTCTGACAAAAAGAAATGGCGGTGTATGAGCTGTGGAAATTGAAAAAAAATTTTTTTTAATTATTATCTTTATACAAATTTTAATTATATATTTAGAGGAATTTATAGATTATTTAAATTCTTTCTTTATATTTTTATATATTTTATAGTAATGAAGCTATAACAACTTTTTTTTTGATTAAATAAATTCCATAAAATTAATTTATCCAAAAGTTTATGTCCCTCAAGAATCCTCCCATCTTCGAGATTATCCAAATTTTGATTATTTTCGAAAGAGCAATTTCGGCTTTTGATTGATATATTTAAAAATTTTTCTCTGTCTCTAATACAATATTTTTATAAATTTATTTTTTATATTTTTCGAGAGATTATATTTTTTGGCAAAGACATTTAATTTTTAAATTGCTATTTAAATTTCTGAAATATCTTCCCGCAATGTATAAAAAAGTTTTGTTTTGAATTTTTTTGTTTTTAATTTTATTTTTTTGTTAACATAGAACATTATTACATTTTTTGTCTATATATCCAATTCTTTTTTAATTTTTTAACCTAAAATAAAATTCTTAATTATTTGCTTCATTCTACTAATTTTTAAATATATTTTTGTTGCTTTTATCTAAAAATATAAATATTTTATTAATAATTATATTCCTTTTGTATTTTTCTTAAAAAAGAATTTATGTACTTTCAAAAAAAAATTTTTTTAAATATTTTTTTGCAAAAATAAATTATTTTTTAAATAAAATCTTTGCCCAATTTTTCATTAAAAATATTTAAATAAATTTTTATAATGCGTCAGTACCTCCAGGTATTTACTTTTAATCTGTTTTTACTTTTAAGATATTTCTACTTATCCATTAGTGACATTTTTGTCATTAAAATATTAATTTTTATTTATTTAAAATAATTTTTAAAATATTTTGTCTCCAAACAGAAAGATTAATTTAAAATGATTCTGTTTTAAATTAGTCTGAGTAATAAAATAATTGTAAACATGATGAATTTAAATTAAAATAAATTACACAAATATTTATTCTTTAGACTTGAAATTCTGACGTGAGAAATGAAATTGCAAAAATTTTAAAAATGAATTTTTTCGTTAAAAGTTAGGTTAAATTTAAAATATCATTAACCTCCCCCCCCCCCCTGGATTATATACTTTTTTAAACAAATTTTTTTAAATCATCTCCAATTGTGTGCTAAAAAAGCAGATGGGATTGATAGAATAATTTAATTAATGTTTAAATAATTGATATAACTAAAGACCGGACAAAGACGAGATCTCGATCAAAAATCTTGGTTATCGAGATCGATATTTTTTCGAGATCCAATTCTCGTACACGCTCCCAGCCGATCTCTAGATATAACTAAATTTAACAAAAAAGTACTATTTTTTATTTTAAAATTTAAAACTTTAAAGAATTTTATATAAATTTTTATTTACTCATACATATGTAGATTCCTTGCAAGTCCAGACAAATAAAATTTTAAATAATTAATAGAGTTGGTATAAAATTTTTTTTAATTCCAAACTTTTGTCAAAAAGTTTTCTTCTAAAAATTAGTTTTATCACGTCAAATAAAAAAATATTTTTTAAAATTTAAGTTTTTTCTTATGATGAAATACTACATATTTTTTAATTTATTTTTTTATAATCTTCAGACATTTATTCTTCTTTTTATTTTAATTAATTTTTTAAATTAACTAAATTAATTTTAAATTTATATATTAAAATATATTTTTTAATTTTATTTTTTACTTTCCGTTATAGCTTAATCCTTTTTTTACTTTTATTTCCGTCTTTATAAATAACATAAATAAATAATATATTTTTTTATTAAAATAATTCTTTTTTTCCTCTCGTCATAAGTTTTTTTCATTAACTTAAAGGCCTTTATTGGGATAAAATATTTAAATAATTTATTTATTTTAATTAAAAATTTAAAATTAAATAAAGACTTTTTTAATTAATTAATAAATACAATTTTAATAAAATATATAATCTTTGTATTGTCTAAATTTAGATTTTTGTATATTAAATAAATTATTTAAATTAAAAAAGAAAGAAAATGTGTGATTGAAAAAAGGGTATTATACATATGTATCTAGAATGTTGCAAACCCAATTTTTTGAAGCGGGAGAGTAAAAGAAATATGAAATTTTGCGGATGAGGGTAGTCGGAAATGAAAGAAGCAACACCCCCTAGTATGCTTAAAATATTTAAATATTTTTTACAAAAATATTTAAAGACTTTGTAGCCTTAAAATATAACCAAAACTCAAATATTTAAATATAAAAAAAATATTTTATTCAAAATAAATCAAATAAAAAATGTTAAATTAAATAAGCTTGTTGTTATTTGCTTAAAATAGTTAAAGAATATGTCCAAAAATTATTTTTAAAAAATCTTTCAATTTCATAACTATTCAAAATTTTTAAAATTTATTTTTTTATTTCTATTTTTGGATATATTCAAATAAATAATATTATTTGTTATTTAAATATTTATTTTTTTCCTTTTTTTTATTTCATTTTCTTTGCATTTTAGCAAACAAAACAAATAAAATATCAGAAATTTCGTGTTTAATAAACATAAACTAACAAAAAATTTTCCAAAAAAGTCAAGTCTTACAAGAAATATTTATTTATTTATTTAGTTCATATTTCATTTAATAATTTTCTCATGACTAAAAATGATTAAAGAATATCTTGGAAATTTTGGGAAATAAAAAAGGAAATTTGAGTAGATTAATAAATAATTTATTTGTTCTTTTTATGATCATTGTTTTATTAAATATTCTTACAAAAACACGTGGGCATGAGAATTAACCAAAAAAATATTTTTGGAAAATGTTGTAGAAAAAATTATTTATTCCACGAAGATTGAATGTTTTCCTTGAAATTTTTATTTTTTTTGGAGGAAAATAAAGTATTAATTTGTAGGACCTTCCCATTTATTTTTAAACTTAAAAATTTTTATTTTAACTATTCCTTATTAGTTTATTAAAAAATATTTTTTCAATATATTTATATACATTTTTAACTAAAAATAGAAGAATTAATTTATAATTAGCCTATAATTAATATATTCTTTTGTGTTTTTCCGCTTAAACGAACTGACAAAAAATTTAAATAAAAGAATTATTTAAATCCTTTTCAGTATTTTGTGCTTAATTATAAATAGTTTTCCAAAGAAAATCATTAAATTCCGGTCATATATTTTTTAAATTAAAAAAAAAAGATTAAAATAGAAAATATTTTTAAAATATTTTTTTAATTATCTAATAATTTTTTGCAAGTCTATAGACAAAAGAATATATGTATCTACGCATTTTTTTCTCCGAGATTTTATTAATTCTTCGAATTTAGCAATATATAGAATGTAAAACTAAAAAATTTTTGGATTTTTTTATTAATTAAATAATTTTGCTTCCTTAAAGTAATTGCTGTCTCAATTCCTAGAAACCTCTCTTCTTCAATCCTGTCACTCTATAGGAAGTCTACAATGACTAGCAGTGATTAGCTTATTATCAAAATAAACAATGTTAGAGAGCCTTGAATCCGCAAATTTCGAATCCGCAAGTTTCCTGTCCGCAATTTAATAAATCTTTTCCCCGCCCCTGTACATATTTTAAAAATCCGTAAAAAGGTTCCGCCTCCTTTTTTGTTTGCCAAACATAAAAAGAAAGGGAGTATATAATTCCCGAACACATCATTCTTTCCCTCACATTTCGTGCCATCAGCTAATTTACTTTCATTTATTTTTTGCCTCTTCAGTTATCAAAAAGAGAAGAAGATCCTTCAAATAATCCTTTAAAATTATCTAAAGAATTCCTTTTAAATTTTTGTTTGAAAATTTTCACTAAACTAGTTGGGGACAAAAAACAAAAATTGAAAAAAAGCGGAAAGGGAAGGTGTGTTTACAACAAAATTTAATTCTTTTTTTAAAAACAATAAAAAATTTAAAGAAGCCGTAGTAAATATTTGCCTTTTTTTAAAAGATAAGAAATATATATTTAAATAAAAGAAAATATTTTTTAGCTTCTTAAAAAACGCCAATTTCATTTAATAAAGCCAAATAATATATTTAATCCTCTAAATAAAATCCTTAACAACATAAATATTTAAACAGAAAATTCCTTCATTTAAATAAAAGATAAAATAAATGATGGATACTCAAAGAATGCTCTTCTCTCTAAACAAATCTTTTGGAAGTTTTGGACGTGTAGTGTGTATTTGCCTGTTAATTTTGGCAATTAGGTAAATAGATATTGCTAGTTAAGATTTGATAGTAACTAATAGATATCGAGTTAGGTCTGGACCAAGGCCTGGGTTTTTCCAGTACCCAGAGTCCAGGAACAGGCCCAGTATTTTCAATAATCTCAATCTGTAGTAACTATATCACTGTTTAAATTACAATCATATCTCTTACAAATAAATATTAACATTCCTAAAAGTTCCTGTTTAATATTGGGATCTGTTATTCATTTTTAGTTATTCCTCAGTAGCTATTCCTCCCTCCTCCCCTCTATCCTAGACATAAGACCTAATAATATGACAGAATTTTATTCAAAAAATCTTTAATTTCCCTTCTAGCACTGATGCTTTTGCTCCTCGTTCCTTCTTAAAGCGTAGTGATGATAAGGAACCTTCTGCTGCCGATGAAGCCCAATCACAACAACAAAAGATTCCAGCCAAACGTCTCTTTGCCCCACAAGAAAATCTTTTCTTCCAACAACCACAAGCAAAACGTTTCGAACTTGCTGATGGTTATTATGACTTCCCACAACAAAAACGTTTCGATTTTCTCGACAGTTTTTATGTGCCAGCTACTTATGGAGGGTAAATTACTCAATTAATTTAAACGAAAAAAAAATATTTTTAAATTTATTTTTTAGTTTGCCCGCCAAACGTTTTGATTCTTTTGGTTATGGACCTCGCCCAATGGCAGCATTTCTTTAAAAGAATGAACGAAAAATTAAAATATAAAAATTTACAAAGTTAAATCAAAAATTGTAAAAATTTCTAGTCTTTATAATATTATAATCTCATAATTTGTTTATGAATTTGGATGTATATGATCTCTTTTTATTATTAAATTTTTTATTTACAATTTTAATAATTTATCGGAAACGAATATTACTTTGTATGATTTATTAAAAAGTAATTTTATCAAAAAATAATATAATTTTTCCATTAACACTCAAAATAGAAATTGTACTGAAAAAATAAAACTATACTTTGGGTATTTTACATAAATCTATATAAATGTGAAACACTTGTCTAAATTAAAATGTCAGATATTCTTCAATTTATTTTTAAATAATTTATCAAAATACATTAAAAATTTACTAGTATATTCACCTGTTAGAAACATAATTTTAAATTTTTAAAAAAGAAATAAGTGAATTCTCGTTAATTTATTTTCCATTCATTGTCTTTAAAAATCACGTCGAGTATTCCAAGTATCCAAATAATATAAAAATTTCTTTTTAAAACAAAAAAAGAGAGAAAACTTTAAAATGCATCAATTTGATTTTCCCTTCATTAAGCGAACACTTTTCAATTTATTTTGTTAAACATTTCGTTGTCAAGCAATATTTTTGTGACTTCCTTTTCCGTCCATTGGGGATTGTGAAAAAGAATGTCACCCCCGTTATCCGCTTTTATTCAATTGAATAAAAATCCTTACATTTTGATTGTGACAAAATGATGAAAGATCTTTCCTTTTCAACGAAGAACAAAAAATATATTTATTTTATTGTCTCAAAGGAATTTTGTTTTCTTTTACATTTTTTATTTCTATTTCCGATTTTAAATTTTATTAGAAAAAACACAGCACAGATTGTGCATTAATCGGAAATAAAAATAGAAGGTAAACTTATTATTTTAAGTGAATAACTTTAAAAATATTCTAAATAAAAATTATTATTTCTGCAAAAATATTTTAGAGAGAAAATTTTTTTAACGAGGGTCTTCAAAGCTTATCTTTTCATGTGAAGCTTTTCACCTAATCTAAATATCATTTTAAATTAAATCCGAATATAACATTTAACTTGATAAATTTACACAAAAATGTAATAAAGGACTATTATATTAAACAATTCAAGACACTTAATAAATTATAATTTAGTCCAATCTCGTTATGGTATACTCCCCACTAATGTACTATAAAAATCAGTTTAGTGATTGACAAAGGGTTGGGGATAAAAGAAAACACATATTTAGCACAAACATCCACTTTAGCATACAACATAGTGTATGATTTTTCATTCCCTAATACTATAACGAGATTAACTATATTGGTACTTAAATTCTGGAATGGCAGATGAAATATTTTGGGTGAACGTTTAAAATTGGTAATGTAGATAAGTTGGTTCACAAGTTTAAGAATAAAATTGAGACAATTTTTTGGTATTAATTAATAAAATGCAAATTTAAAAACGAGTTTCACAACATTTTATTTTTACATAATAGAGCAACTCTTTTTCTTCGGCGTTTGTTCACTTGATATATTTGAACCAATATCTCTAACCCGTTGTTCATCTAAATATATTGAAGCTAAATCAACGCCTACACCCGCACAAAGATCCGGATGACCACTAGGTGGGAGATCCATACAACCAACAGTAAAAGGCTCTGGAGATTTTGACATCTTTTGAATATTTCCTCGAAATTTAATTTGTTCCGCAACAGTAGTAGGACTTCGCATTGGGCGTGAACTAAAAAGTTCGAGGATATTAAGAACATGATTATTCAAGGATAAAAACAAAAGCAAAATTCATACAGTCGGACCTCAATTTCATTTTTAGGGCCTAAAAATTTTATTTCTAAATAAGGTGTGGTGCCTAGTGAGAGCTATAAACAAAATTTTCTCAATGTATTCGATAACGAATATTTTGCTAAAAGATAATTAAATATTTATATTAGAAATTATATATTAGAAATGAATTATTATAAAGTTAAAAATGTATCAATTTTTAGTTGTTTGAGCGCATTAAAATGTGTTTTAAGTAAAATATCTGCCAATTCGTCAACTGAATAAATTCTTTCGTCAAGGTCATTCTCCTGGCAATATTTTATCAGCTTTATGCAATATTGACTTGCTTCTGAATCAGTTATCAAACTTGCATCAGTGAGAATGCTTGCAACAGAATGACGTTTCTGCATAGGCATTTTTGAAGAGCTTTATTTAAATAAATAAAGTAGAAAAAATAAAAATATTTCAACCAAAAAATAGTTCTACAGACAGTAACTACAAAAATTGAGCTCCGACTGTATGAATAAAATAACATGAAAATTTAAAAACTGACCTGGTATTTAGAACTGGAACAAGACGTTTATTAACTTTCTGTCCTTCACTTGCAGTTTTTTCTTGTTTATTTGACTTTTGAGCTTCTTGTTTTTGAGCTTCTTGCATTAAAACAGCTTGGTGCTTCTTTTCCAATTTTTGTACACTTTTTGGTTTTTTAAAGTCACTTCTATTGTTGAATTCAGATCTGAAAGAATTCGACATTTTTGGTTCATCTTCGTCTTCAGAAATAATATCATCGTTAAATCCATTACTTAAATAAGGTCGAAGATTAGAAGGCTTGCAAGAAGCAAAATGTTTTGCCCAAAATTCTGTTCCAGCTTCATCATCGTCAGAAAGCCACTCTTTACTTTCATCATTATTTTTATTTTCTTTTGGTTTATTAGGAGATTTGTTTGATTCTTTTGGTTTATTTTCAGTAGCATCATTACGTGTTTTGAAGAGTGGTGTTGGGTGTACTCCATGTAATTTGCGGGGTGGGCTTGCTTAAATTAAAAAAAAATTTCAAATTAAATTATCTTTTCTTTACATTTATTTGTAGAAGGTAAATCATTCAAATCATCCTCCAAATTCGATTGAGATGGGACAGATTGTTTAAGTCGAGGTCCAGGTCGTTCAACTCTGGCAGTCAAATCAGAATTAATACTATCCATGATTGTTTTCTTAAAGTTATCCATTTCCTCAGCATTGATTTCACGGCCATCTTCTCCAGCAAATTTATCAATCGTTACGGCATCATTTGCAATGCAAAACTGAATAAATCTGATAGAGAATTAATTTTAATTAAAATTTCAAAAAATGCAAAACTTTTTCCAATAATTCTTTTTATTATTTGGATCCAAAACATTAATAAAAGCCTGTGAAACAATAACAACCAATAATTCCTTGGCTCGAGTAAATGAAGTATTAATTCTCTAAAAAGATTAACATAAAATTAGGATTGTAAAGAAAATAAAAATTCTACTTTATATTCTGAAAGAAATCCAAGCTGTTCTGATCTTGACAAACTAATTATTATAACTCTACGCTCAGAGCCTTGAAAGCACTCGACAGAATCAACTGTAATATCCTTACGTCGACAAAGTAATTCACGAATTTTTGAAGTCTAAAATATTTTTAATTTTTGTTTAAATCCCAAATTAATTTGAAAAACTCACCTGTTGTTTATAGGGACTTATAACTCCAATATCAGAATCTTTAATATCACCCATTGTTTTTTTGATCAGATCAATATATTTTATAACAACATCAACTTCTTCCAAATTGTGAAATGATCGTCCACCGTCTGCTTGACGAACCTCAGCACCCTTAGAAACAACATGAAGAATTATTGGAAAATTTTTGCGTGGCAAATATCTCCATTGACAGAATCCTGTTCTTTCTTCTCCTCTAACAGCCATTAACTCGCCAGAATAAAAATTGTTTGAAGAAAATTCAATAATGCTTGGATGGCATCTGTAGCTTTCATTTAGTTTGCAGAAAGTACGCCTTAAATTTTTTTAATGAAAGTTTTAAGGAAAAATCAAAAAATTTAACCCACCCGTCTGTATAAACTCTTTGCTTAATCGCTGTTGTCAATAATCGTTCCATTAAAGAACAACATGTTTGCTTATGTACTTTCAAAAAATAAGGCTTACAAATAGCACCTAATAATTATAAAAATAATTAAAAATATTAAAATAATTAAGGTATTACCCAATTGTTGATAATCACCGCAAAGTATAACTCGAGTATTTTCGGTAGCAAATCGTGTTATTGGAATTAATGTTTCAGGCTCAAAGGATTGACTGGCCTCGTCGATAAATATATGACTAAAAATAATATAAAATATGGGTAGATGAAGAAATAAGGAATTCTGTTAGCTATAAATGGATTGAAATCTGTTCCCTGGTCTATTTCAAATTTAGAGAAGAGGTTTGTGAGTTAGAAACATGGCCCAAACTTTTATTAAATTTAAATTTGTAAAGCTAACGAAAAGAAATCTGGTTCGGTTATATTTTCTTCTAAATAAGCAGAGCAGGCAAGTGTTGAAAAAATTAAACGAATGTTTAGTTGAATAATCTCCTTGTAGGAATCCAAACCAAAACGATCATCAGTTATTCCATATAAAGCGCAACTGAAAATTCAATAAGCCGGAAAAAGAGAAAACAAACTTTTCAATTTTAATTATTTTGTCCAAATCCTTATCTCGATCATTAACATTTTTACCAAGACTGTAATATCGTCTCATTTGAGTTGCCGGAAGTATACCCATCTGATAAATCCGTCTAGCAATTAAATCGGCTGCCATATTTGAAGGCGTACAAATTAGAATTCGATTTGCCGGATTCTTTTCCAATAATTGTTTAATACTAGAAATGGTAGAAGGTAAGAAAGATTTCATTGTCAGAAAATTATCTAAACCATTCAATAATTGTAACAGTCTTGCCAGTTCCTGGTGGCCCCCATAATACAAAAGGAACAGTTCCATGTACTCCTCTAACAATGGAATAAATTGCCTGATTTTGCATTTTGTCGAATTTATTTTCTACTTGACTGCAGACTTTTTTGGATACCTTTTTCTCAAAGTAGTAATTAAATTCTTTTTGATAATCCTCATAAGAGATCTAAAAGGAATTTAAATTGTTTAAAACAATAAGATTTTGGATTAAAATTTAAAAAATTATTGTCTAAAATATAACAAGTAAATATAAAAATACCAAATTTCCTGCATCTGGGAAAATAGTAAATCTTGCTCTTCCACTTTTAAGAAGCTCCAATGAACGCAAAAAAGATCTATACTGTCGGTCATTAAATTCAATATTAATTGTATATTTTTGACGTTGATCAAAAAGAATTTGACCCTTATTATCCTCAAAAGTAACATCTATCGTCCTGTCATCCTTGTTGATGAAAGTTATAGCACCCTAAATAAAAAATGATTAAAAAAACAAAAAGCAACTTTACGTACCAAATGTCCATCAATAACGACTTTAGCATAACTAACTAATTCATCCATTGTACTTTCTGACAATTTAAATTTGTAGACTCCATAGGAAGAAGTGTGTTTCTGTTTAACACCTTTTGAGTTAATTGCTGGTGGACGACGATGTTCGATATATCTAAAATTATGAGAAGAATAAATTTAATTTAAATAAAACACTCACACCACAGTTGCGTTCTCCATAAATTTTTCTTCAAGATCAATCTGAAAAATTAATTTAAATTCAAACATTGATAAATAAAACCTTTTCATTTGCAAAGAACAGGTGGACAAAATGTTGAAATTTTTCAATGTATTGTTCAATCTCTGGAGTAGCATTAAATTCCATTTGCAGATATGAAATAGCATCCTGAATGAATTAAATAAACAGGTGAACAAGTTGTCTGATTTTATTTATAAATTATTTAAATATTCCTGCCATGTAAAGCTGGTTTAGATCTTCCCAATATTTTTCAGACATCGTAGCAGGTCGACTTGTTGGGAACTTCATATTCATTTGTGCAAGTTTTTTATACAAGTCGGCAAGTCCAACATCCACATTAATTGGTGTAGTTTTGAAAGACATAATGAAGGCCTAAAAAATAAGAAAAAATGAAAGAAAAATGGCTAAATCTTGAGATTAAAAGCAAGAAAATGCGAGAAATGAAAGCAAAGATTAATTGTAATCACATCATGCTTACTGATTTTAATCTTAAGTGAAAAAGTAAATGTCTCGCCAAAAAAACAGAAAGTTTTCCCAATGAATCAAATAACATCAATTAGACTCTAGTGGACGTGTTAGACGGCGAGAATTTTTAAGAAATAGTGCTTGTATTTTAATTGATTTTTTCGATTTATGGGACGAAAGAGTCTAGCACTAGACTTTTTTGATTCATCGAATTGATCTATTTCACGTCAGCCTGAAAATTTCTTTTATTTTTTAGAATGAATTTAGCAGTAAAAAATGAAAATGTTATTACAAATGGTTCTACAAACTCTACAACTGAACAGGATGGAAAGGTTTTTCATTTTTATTCTTTTTTTATTTAAAATACTTTTTTAGGTTTTTGTCGGACCGGGCGCGAAAAAAGAGGCTGGAATTGTCGGTTTAGGTTTAAATAAACTACGTTCTTTTCAAATTATTGATCTGGAAAGGGCCAAGAAATATGCAATTGATCAGTCCATTAGGTTTGTTATGGAAAAGCAAAGAATGGCACATCAACAACAGGTCAGTCTAAACAATCTATAGCTTTTTTTATGCTTACGACTTAGTTTAACTAACTGCAAAGAACATTTTTCAGCAACAAAAAGTCGCTCTTTACTCTCAAGCATTGGCTTTAATGTCCAGAATTTATATTGGGTCAGTCAATTTTGATGTGTCCGAAGATCAAATTCGCACTGTTTTTGGCATTTATGGACCCATCAAAAATGTTAATATGTCTATTGATCCAACGACTGGGGTAACTTTTTATAGAATTTGATAATTTTGAAAATTCTAACGTTAAATTTTGTGAAGTCTCTTTTTGGGTTTATTTAAAAATTCTCATGAATTTAATTTCACTTATTTTGTAGAACCACAAAGGATTTTGCTTTATAGAGTACGAAGTACCGGAAGCTGCTTTTCTTGTATGTTTAATAAAAAGGCAATCCTCAATAAAGTACACGCATTGAAAACTCTCACAAAATTGGCTCATCTTCAGCGTTTATCAGCCGGCTTATAAATTTATAAGTACCTAAATTAATTTGCTTTTTGCTCTTTTTTTATTTTCAGCTTGACTACAAGGCATGATGAAATTAACACCAGATTCATTCAGCCGTTCGATTATTCCCATTACCCTATTTTTGTGCATAAGGAGAGTTTTCATAGTGCATTTCTTTGAGGATTGTCCTCATTAATTTTTATAAATTTTGGTAATTTCAGGCCATTGATGCAATGAATGGAAAATTTCTGGGTGGTAGAACTATCAAAGTTATGCCGGTATTGACATTTTTAATCGAGACTTTATTTTCATACTTTTTGCTAGGTTGGACGTCAAGATTCTACCCCTCAAGCACAGCCTATAATTGATATGGTTATGACAGAAGCACGGCAATACAACAGAGTTTTTGTTGCATCTGTTCATCCAGATATAACTGAACAAGACTTGCGAAGTGTTTTCATGGCTTTTGGGGAAATAACTAAATGCCAACTAGCTAAACACCCAATCTTGAAGCGTCACAGGTTTTTTACATTTAAAAATTTTTCTCATAATTTTTAGGGGATTTGGTTATATTGACTTCAAAACTAGTGCATCTGTCAAGGAAGCAGTAGAGGGGATGAATGGCTTCGATTTAGGAGGACAAATCTTAAAGGTAGGACGTTGTGTAACTCCACCTGACGCCCTTCATTACTTGAGTTCTGGTGGATCAACTTCAGCACTACCGGCCGCTGCCGCCATTGGTTGCTATTATATACGTTTTTTTACCGATATTATTTTTAGCTGCTGCTGAGGCTACAGCAAGGATCCATGCACAGGAAGCATCAGGAAGATCATCTTCGCCAAGAATATCAAATAGTCCACCGTATGGGACTTCAACGACAAATCGTGCCCTTCCGGCACCAACATCAGCGCCTCAAACTGGTCCTTTTTAAAAAATTATTTTATTTTAAATTTTCAGCACAAAAATCTACATCATCCTCTGGAGCGGCTTTGCAATCAACAGGTCGTCGGAGAGGTTTTGGTGGATTCGCTGGTTCTGTTCAACCACCGGCTATTGTTCTACCCTTACCTGCGGTATCTTTTACACAACCAAAGTCTGCTTCATCAAATGCTTCTGGTGTTACAACTCCAGCAGTAACTGCGCCAGGACTTGTGATTCCACAACTTGGAAGCAAAGAAACGGTTGTTTTTCTTTGATACATCTAATTATAATAATTAATTTATTCAGGTAGCTACTTCACAAATTAAAATGGAAGTAGATTTACCCGAGGTTAAGAAAGAAGTAAACGAACTTCAACCAAAAAACAATCTTGAATCATCCCAGATCAAAGAAGATGTTAATGTACCTCAACCCCAAAAGGATATAAATGTCGATTCATTTTATTCTGCTTTGAATGATGACACATTTGAACCGCCTAAATTAGCTATCCCACCTCAATTACTACAAACAGCTGCTGAAAGTCAACCTGAACAACAAAAAGTGAAGAAGCCGAAACTTGATTTTCTTGATCGTATTGGAGAGAAGGTTAAATCTAAATTTGTTTCTTTTGATCCGAGTAAGCCGGCATCCTTTTTGCCTTCAGTTCCAAATACTTCGAAGGATTCTGATGATGAAGGTTGATTTTTTTAAAAATTTAAAAATAATTTGTAAAATATTTTAGAAGAACCACCAGAAACTCAATTGGCAATTGGTGGTCCTGAAGCTTGGACAGCTTTGGCTATTCGCGAGGATACAACTATTGCAAAAACAAAGACTGAAATTGCTCCAAAACCTAAACAAAAAAGCGATAAGAATAAGCAAGTTGCTCATAGAAGGAAAGGAAAAGGCAAAAAGACAAAATATTCTTCTGGTCCGAAGGTTTGAGAATGTTTTTTTATTTAAAATATTTTCATATTTTTCCTTTTTTAGTTAAATACAGCAACAAAAATTGCAGCTGCGAACGTTGCAGGAGCCCTCAGTGATCAGCTGCAAACACAACGAGAAGAAAAAGGCGAAGAAGCTTCTTTGGCCTCTCAAGAGCATGTACAAATTCGTGGAAATGATGCAAGGCATTTATTGATTCAAAAATTGATGAGAACAAATCGGTCGTCAGTAGTTTTGTTAAAGAATATGGTTGAGCCAAAAGATGTAGATGAATTTTTGGAAGATGAAATAAAGGAAGAATGTCAAAAATATGGAACTGTTACTGATGTTAGTATAGTTTGATTTAAAAATGTTTTTGTTAGGGGATAGCAGGGAAGGGAAGGTGACTCATACCTCCATAATCAGCCTTTTTGAAATCCGGCCCTGGATACGCCCTCGGAGGATAGGTGTAATACGGCTGGGTGTGTGCCATTTGACAGTTTAATATTTCCTTTTAGAACTTGTTACGATTAACTAAAAACTAGATAACTTCACTTATAATTCCAATAAATTTTATAGGTTGTAATTGTCCAAGAAGAAGACACACAAACAGTTAAAATCTTTGTCAGATTTTGTGAACCAACACAGGCAGATGAAGCAAGGAAAGCTATTGATGGACGTTATTTTGATGGGCGAACTGTTTGTTTACTTTTTACTAATTTGAAGTTTTTATTATTTTAGGTAAGTGCACAATCCTATGACCAAGTACTGTTTGATCATGATGATTTTACTGGATAAAAACTGTACCTTCTAATCTTTGTTTGAAATTCGAATTCTAATTTAAGTAATATTATTATATTATGATTATTTTTGATTCTTGTGGTCATTTTTATATTGTTTTTAAGTATTTTTGCAAGTGAATTCGATAATTTGATTTAACGCAATTAGTCTGATTTTTTCGGTTCTTCCTACTTCCATAATCCGTAATTTTTTGACTTTACCCAATGTCGTTATAATTTAACAAAACTAACTAGCTCATCAATAATTTTATACAAAAACAATAATAAATAATGACTAGAACAATTTCTGGGATCTAAAATTTTAAAAAACGGTGGACTGTTGATGTAACTTTTTAACTGACATTGTTCTTCTGTGTTGTTGAAAACAGCCAAAACCAAGCAAATCACGAAAACAGCGTCGGAAATCTGAGTTATACATTGTATAAATTATTGGATTGAGCACAGAATTTGAATAGCCAAGCCATAGAAAAAATTCTGCTAGCACTTGAAATTCGTGTCTACTGAAAAGCTTGCTCCGTTTTTGCAAAGGAGATACTTCCAAAATGTAAACAACAAAGAAGGGGCACCAACAAAGAATGAAACCTGAAAAACGGTGTAATTTGTTCTTTATAAATCCTTTAACTATTTAGTATAAGGGGTTTAACAAAAGTGTACCCACCGGTCAGGAATCGAACCTGCAACCTTCCGAGAGGATCAAAAAATCAGTAATACTTTTTGACTTGGTAAAGTATCATAAATCATTTAGGTTTTCAGTTTCCTTACCAAGTACTACAATTCCAATAGTTTTGAGCGCCTTTCTCTCTCTCAAATAAACAATTTTCTCTTTTGAGCCTCTCAAGTTTGCATTTTTTGTTGTAAGATGAGGAACAACTTGTGGAGTATGTCCAATTAAAGTGTCAGTTTTCATATTAACACCATAACTATTTTGTTGACGAAGAGGTTGGCGAGCGCCATTTGCAAGAAGAAGGCGATCGGGTGGATGTAGATTTTGTTGTAAACTGTCCCGTCGTTCCGGACTGTTATCGTCTACAGGATCTGCACTGTTTTTGCGGTATTTACTTGATTTACGCCCTCCTTCGATTCCAAAGGTGTCGTATTGCTAAGAATGTAATAATTAAGTTTATAATGGAAGAAAGGTCCCTAAAGAGCTAAATCCAGTAATCATCTGGATTTAGAGCTAAGGTTAAAGAACGAGATTTTTTATTTTTAATTTTAGATAATATTGTAAATTTTCTAAAATGCTCAAAAAAGTCGAGAACAGATAACCGGAAACCTCAAGAAAAGTCTTGAAAGAGCCTTGGACACCTCTAGTAAACATTTTCTGGATTCAAATAAAAATTAAGAAAATTTTTTACCCCGCTGCCCAAACACTCCATCGACTTAATTTTGCGTCTGAACGAGTCTGAACCTCCAGAACCCTTTGCACGATCTACAGCTGCAGCCACTGTCCGATTTATAGGCCCACTGTTGGATGCTAAACCTTTTCCACTATTCCTTGCTGAAGTTGGACAACTTGTTTCAGCAGAACAACAACTACTTAATTTATCTCCTCCATCACCCCCTTCTGTTGTATTTTCGTTATTTAAAAGATTTTGTCCAGCAGAGGATGAACGACGTTCTTCTTGATTTAAATAAAAATGTTCACAAGAAGAAACTGGGCGATTTGTTGGTATAATATGATTATTGTTTATATTAATATTATTTATATTAGCTAAAGTTACTGGAGAACAATGATTTAACCTTAAAAATATTTTTTTAATATTTTTAATTTTTGGGCACAAACATATTTTGTTGCTCCTTTGCTTGCCCTGGAAAAACAGTTTTTGTTGTTGGCTGAGCAATTCCTCCTCTAATTCGAGGTACTGAGGAACTGAAAATGATAAAATGAGATAAACGTTAAAAATATTAAAATAGTTTAGCTTTTCATGCGATAGCTGAACCTGGCTAATATTTTTAATTTTTTCCATCATTTTATTATTTTTAATTAATATCCAATTTCTTTATCCAATTTTTTAACTTTAAATACCGGTGTGTATAATTAGTAGTTGCACTTCTTTTTCTGCCTTTCATTTGTGTTTTTTCAACTCTTCTGCTTAGTCGGCAAGTACCCATACCTTCTCGAATAAGGCGTTCACGTTCAGAGGCAACACGGAAAATTTTAAAGTAAACAAACAGCATAACCTTAAAATGTAAATAATTCTTATTTTTTTGTATTTTTATTTAATTCACTGATAAACATGGATAATGAATACTTTCATTAAAAATTTAAAAAAATATTTAATTTACCATAAGAGGAATATAAAAACTGCAAGAGGCACTGTAAATTCTATAAGAGACCGACATTGGATAAGCACATTGATATCCACTAATTACATGTGCCGTATTAATATTTTCAACTCCAATTCCTTCTGAAAGACTTCGAGTTTTTGTTCTCTTTGGAGGAATAAAAATGACAGAAGATTTTGAATCAAAAGATATACTCCATTCATCAATAAACCAAGGAGGTGAACAAACAACTAAAGACATTCCCCAAACAAAACATAAAAGTGCAAAAGCCATCCAACGACTTCTTGTTCTTGGATATCTTAGAGGGCTTGTAATTGCCATATATCTAGTAAATTATTATTTTAAAGTATAAAGGTTTTGGCTACAACTATAGTCTTTATTTTATCCAAAACAGATAATTGATGGAAATAATAGTACTAGGGATAAGGTTGATATATTAATAATAAGGTTTGATGAAGTTGGAAAGAATATTTTTTGGAGACAAATACTTTGTGATTATACATATGACTAAGTCAGTCAGAAATTAAAAATAATCTTGTAATTAACCCCATATACAGGGTGCGGCAAAAGTTCCCGTACTTTTGTTAAGCATAAAATTTATTTCAAATATTTTTTTAATTTTATAAAATCTATGAAGAAGTGTTCATTACTTCTAAAGAAAAGACTAACATATGTATCGGGGAGATAATAGGATATAGATACCAGTCATTTTCTGAGAACCCTCATTACAAAAATATTTCGGAATGGGACTAAGGTTTGAACTCTATTTTTAAAATAAACAAGCGACTATTTTCCATTTTTGTCAAGATTTCTTTTAAAATTTCTTACCTATCAAGAGAAATAATGCACAAATTAAGAATTGATGCTGTACATAATAAAATATCAAAAGTTGCCCAAATTCTACAAGTTACAATCCCCAAAGGCCAGCTATGTGCATGTAATAAATCAAGTAATGCAAGTGGCATAATTAATAACCCAACAAGTAAATCTGCGGTAGCTAATGAAGTAAGTAATAAATTGGTAAATGTTCGCATTCTTTTGTATAAACAAACTGAAAGAACAACTAATATATTACCCAGCACCGTTGCCAAAATTAAGATAATCTGGAAAGAAAAAATATTTTTTTTTGAATTTGGAATGGATTTAAAAAATTTTTTAAATTCAAATTATTTCTAGTATATTATAAAAAGGTTAAGAATTTATTGAAAAAATTATTTACAAATATCCTACAAAAGTGTAACGCATGACCCCATGTCGCAAATGCGACTCTCTAAAAATCAACCAGATGGGTTGGGGAGCTCATGTTCACTCTCTCTATTCTCCTGATAGTGCTTTATTAGAATCATTTCAAATTTCATTTTTACGTCTTAATTTGGAAGAGAAAAATCACTTAGAAGTTGCCTAGTTGCAAAAATACATATTTTTTGATTTTCCCCTCTATCTTCTGAGAAATTAATCCTATGATCCTGAATTTTTGAGAGTAAATAGGCAACTCTTATAGGATCATAATAAAAATAATTTGCACTCTGAAAATATTTTGTTTAATTCTTATAATTATTTAAGCCACTTAAGCCAAGTGGGGCTCAGAACTTAGTTGACAACCTAACTTTTTTAGGTATTTCTCTAGTTCTTGAGTTTATAAGAATATCTATAATTTTAAAAATTTTTAGGCATCGGGTTGGATAAACTGTTTTTAATCTTTTTTTCCTTAAAATCTCTCCAAAATTTAAACAAACCAAAACAAAAGCGATAAAAACATCAGTAAAACCAAGGCACACTCCCCCTCCACTACGTTCTCCATTAATCTTTCCTCCATTTAAATTATTTAATGAATTTTGTTGTTTTAAATGTTCGGAATTAGAGGAAACGGAAGCAAAAATAAAAGAATAAAAATTAAAAAAGAAAATAGCCAAAATAATAATCATTTTTTAAATTAAATATTAAGCACCCTTTTATGGAAATTGGTGGAAGTTGTTGTGACGAATTAATTTTTAAAAAATAAAAATAAAGAAGAAAAGGCCGAAAAATAATTATTTTAGCATTAAAAACCACAAAATAATTTGAAAAGCTTAAAATTTAAATTTAAAAATATTTATTTTAAAAATAAATTTATTTTTTATAATAAAATTAAAGAAAAGTTTGTAGTTTTTGTAAAAAATTTAAAAAGTAAAATTAAATAGTAAATAATATTTATAAATATTTATCAAAGTAAATTATTAGCGAATTAATGATTTAGAAATATTTAATGAAATTTTAATTTATATTTTTTGCTGTTAAATTAAAAGAATAATTTAAAATATTCAATAAATATATCTAAAAGAATTGTTTCTTTTATTTTAAAATAAACTTAAAATTTTATTTTCCTATTTCTAATCTAATAAAGTATCCTTTCAATCAAAAATCCCTGCACCATTCTCTAATTATTCTTTTAAAAAAGTTAGATTTCTTTTGAAAAATATTTCAAAAAGTTAATAGAGGAAAATTTAAATAATTATTTTTGCATAAAAAGGAACTTTAAAAAACAATTTAAATTTATTTTTTTAATCTTTTATTTAAATTTCCAAAAGTCCAACAGAGTAAAACAATATAGAAAATCTTTGTTTAAAAAATAATGAAATGCTTAAAATGACGTTTTTGTTAAAAATAAATTGATTTGGTAATTATTAGTACAAAATTGAGGGTTTTAAATGGATTTTTAAAAATGAAAAAATTTTTTTAGAAAGGATAAATTAATTAATAAAATTTTTTTTTATTTTCAAAGTAAATTTCAATGTAAAAAATATTTTTTATTTAAAGAATTTTTTCCGAATTTCTATAGATTTGTACAATTAAATTCTTGACTTTTTTATTTAAATTTAATATTAACTTTGGTTAATCGGATCTCGTTTTTGTATATCCCTTCGAGGTTTATAAATTTGTATAAGTATGAGAACAAGAGATTAAGGGTATAGTAAAAATTATTTTAAATAATTATTTAATAATATTAATTTCTTTTAATAATTATATTTTAAGTAACTAATTTATTATATTAATTTATTTAAAGACTAGATTTAGAAAAAAAAGAAATGTTATATAAAAATGATTTAAGAGTTATATTTAAGTGGTTTAAAAAAATTAAAGAGATAAGGTATCCCTTCCCCCTTTCTCTCATTATTAGCAATTAATATATACCAACTGACGTTAATTGACATTTAAACGAAAAAAATTATTAAAAGGATAATGAAAAAAGAGTTCATGTTAGTTTAGATAAATTCTTAAAAAATTCTTTAAAAATAATGAGGAGAATATTTGGACGTCAGAGACTTTAGATTGACGGTGATTTGTGATTCTCTTTAAAAATGAAGATAAGGGGACATGTGGAAATAATGTGTTGTTAATTTTGTCATAAATTAAATTTTAAAGTAAATTTTTAAAAATTTTAAAATTAAAATATTTTCAGGAAAATGTGTCACTTTTAGTTATAAATAGAATTTTTGAGAATAATTAATTATATAGACAGAATAATAGTAGATATTATTAAAAGAAATTGAAGGTATTCAATCGAAGGTATTTAATTATATTTAAAATTCTTGTAATTGTAAATTTCGGAAAAATCAAGAATATACACTGATTTGAGGTTTCACAGTGGAGAGATTTGGAAAAGAATCTTAAAGGATAAAAAATTTTATGTTATGGATAATAGAAAAATATAACAAAATTAAAAAACATCTGGGAAAGGACATATTAAGGTGAAAAACTAATTAAATTCATTCGGGAATCTTAAAATGAATGAAAGAAGTGAATGTTAGAGTAGAAATCGGCATTTAAAAATTCTGGATCTGGATTTAGGTTAGTAAACTGGGCACTTCTTATTTAAGAGAAAGTATTGAACAAATAAATTAAACAGAAATAATTAATTTACATATTTTAATAAAATTCTAAAAATAAATTTTTTGCCAAAAATGCAATAAAAATTGTTTAATTTTCCAGGTCTTTAGGGTTTTTTACTTAATTTTGCCATTTAACGGGTTGCGATAAGAGAAAGGTAAAAAGTAGTGAAATAAATAGAAAAAAGGATAAAATATTTATTTTTTCTTCCTTTTTCCTTATCCTATTTCCATTTTTATTTGAGGCGATTAGAAAATTTGCTTAATAAAAATTGGCTGTTTCGTAGGCAGATAAGCTAAAAAGATATATTTTATTAGAGAGTTAATGTAACGTGTAAATTCTCTTTTTTTATTTTAGCCTTAAGAAAATCCCCATAGGACATTAAAATAAATGAATTGTACAAATTGGAGAGGGTGGAAAGAAGAAGAAGAGTAGATGTACTAGGTAGTTTTTGAAGTAGAAAATGAGTGAAAGGGAAGGGGGAGGGGGGATTTACAGACAGTCCTACAAGTATTTTTTTATAAAGTTTTGAGCTGCTTTTGACGTAATTTAACCAAATCAATTTTTAAGAAGTTTGAAAAAAGGCAGGGAAAGGAAAAAACCAAAAGGCCAAAAGAAAAAATGAAATAGATTAAGAATTAATTTAAATAATTTTCAAAAAAAAATTTAAATTAAAAATTAAATAGATTTACTCTAAATACTCTAATATAAGCCCAGTCAAAGTGATCCTTTGAAAGATATAAGCACAGGGCTTATATTAGAGTATTTACGGTAACTTAATTAGAACAAGTACAAGGGGTTCGAGTAGATTAGAACTTTTCAGAGTTTCATTTTAAAACAAGTGATTAATCTTTGAATGTTAAAAATAAATAAAATTATTTAATAAATAAAAATTAAATAAATAAAAATTAGTAGAAAAATGTCAAATTTGTATTTTAAGGCATTATAAAAATAATTAAACTAAAATTATAGAAATAAAATTTAAATGGCGAACAAACAAAAGAAAATCTTTTTAATTTAATATTAAAATAACAAAATATCATATAAAAATTATTTAAGGGATATTATGACTTTATTTCGAGAAAATAATATTTATCAATCTGAAAAAAAGTTTTAGCTTTTTGAACGATTTTTGGAAATTTAAGATTTTTCTCTTTATTTCAAAGATTAAAAACTGAGTCAAATATTTATTTATGCAAATCATTTCCTGAATTTTAAACTAAAAATAGTTTTTATTTAAAAATAGAAGTATTTGCTTTCTAGTTTTGCCAAAAAAATTTACTACCATTTACAAATAAATATTCAATATTTAAAAAAACCCTTTCATTTCAAATTATTATTTATTAGTTATTTGAATATTTATAGTTTAATACCTCAAAAATGAGAGAAAATAAAAAAATGAGAGGAAAAGGGGGGAGGGGGGGATGGAGGAATGGGGGGGGGATGCTCAAAAAAACTTTTTTTTCACAGTTTTGTTCATCCAAATGGAAATAAATATTTTTTAACGGCTACTTGTAGTAGTTATCGTCAATTGCCCGTATTTTGTGTTATTTGAAGCCTTTTTTTGTTTTTCATCAATTGGCAAAAAGGAAGAAGAAAAATAAAAGAAAAGAAAAATGGGAGGGATTAAAAAGTGAAAAAAATGGCAAAAATTGTTGAAAATTTTTATATAGTAATTTTTTTGTACTTTTTTTTTGTCTAAGAAAAAAATAATTAAAATCAATATATTTTTGAATTAAAAATAGTGGAAAAATTATATTAAATTATTTTTTAAAAATTAATTTAGTTATGTATTATTTGACACTTCAATTAAGGGAAAGAAAGAGAGAAAAGGAAGAAAATAATGTTTTTGGAATTTTGATTAATAAAATATAAAAATGAAAGTAGCTATTTAGATATAGTATATACTCAATGTAGATATACCTTCAATAATGTTATTTAGTTTCTCCAAAAAATTTCAGAAATTTTTGTTAAATGAGAAGAATTTTATTGAAAAGGCATTGAATTTATCAAAGTACCTATTTATTTTAATGAAGGATTTCGACTGAAACTCTTGACATAATTAACACAAATTATGAGAGTTGTAGAAAGATTATTTAGAAATGGTTGGGATAAATTTAAGAGATTAGAATAACTCTGAAAAACCCACGAGATATCTAGAAAAACCTCGATTTCGATATTTGAAATTTTTGTTTGAAAGCCTGTCCGACTAGAAATCTTAAATAACAACTATAATAAAATAAACAGGAAAATATGAGCACAAAAAAAGAAGAAAAAATTATTATTTTAATATTTTAATAATAAGCTGGCATTAGTAAAGTAATTAAGAAATATTAAAAATGCGCAAAATAAAAATGAGATTACTCTTTCTTTATTTACTAGAAAAGTTATGCTTAAATGGATTTTGTTTTGTAATAAATGAATAAAATAAAATATTTAATCTTAGTGTTTTAAGTTTTTGAAGTTTAATAAATTAAAATAGGTAATACATATGTATATTTAATTTTTGTAATATTTTTTCAAAAATTCAATTAATTATGTTATCTTTAGAAATTATTTTTATTTATCATTTTAATATTTAAAAATACAAATTAATTATCTTTGATTAACTATATTTTTGATTTTCCTTAAGTTCAAAATTCTTGTTGCGATAAAATTTATTTTAAATAATTTATTTGGAACACAATAAAGGAGAATATAAAACAAATACACAAAAAATATTTTTTTATTTTATTTATTTTAAAAGCCAAAATAAAATAAATATATTTTACTTAAATTTATTTTCTCACTTTTACATAATTTTATTCATTTTATTTTTTGCTTAGTTAGTTAAAGCATTCTTTCCTTTTTATGATAAACTAAAAAAATAAAAAGAGGAAAAGGCGCTCAGTTTTCTCCCAAAATTAAGTTTGCCATTCAAAGAAAGGAAAATAAGAAGAGAAAGAAGTGTAAATTTGTCGCTTACTTTTTCACAGCAATCCGAACTCTTTTTCCGTTGAAATGAAGAAGAAGAAAAAATGAAGGAAATTTCAAAAGAAAAAAGAAAATTTTGCCAAATTTTTATGAAAAAATCACAAGGGGAATTTTTGAAAAATAAAAAAGTTTAAGGAATATTTGAAAAGAGAGAAATTAATTTTTTAAATTTAATAATTAAAATTGAAAAAAAAAGATTTTTTGGTGATATGACATTTACGGATAATCTCTACTATGGTTGGTGTTTTCGAGCCGGCCCGAGTCATTTTTTCGGGCATGAGTCTTTTTCTGAGTCTTTTTCGGGTCAAAATTCAATGCCCGACTCGATCTTTCGGACCGGGCGGATTAAGCTCTCAACCCCTCTAATCTCGGCAATAAATTAATAATAACAATAAAAAATTGATACATAAATTTAATTTTAAAAATTAAAAAAAACAAAAATTATTTAATTATGTTTAAAGGTCTAATCAAAATTGTGGGTGGATTACTTTTTGTCGGCCTTAATTTTAAAATTGTTTTAAGATACCAGTTTTAAAATTATTTAAAAATTTTAGAGAATACAAAGAAAATATAAATTAAATATTTAATTATAGTTATTCTTTAAATAATTACAATCTAGCTAGTTTAAATTCTTTTTTTAGGAAAAGCTGATAAAAATATATTTATGTGTGTGGTAAGTCTAAAGCTTCGAAATAAAGTCACGCTGAGCGGAAAAACGATAAAAATATATCTTACGTAAAAAGGACATTTTTCGTTAAAAAATTCTTTGGCCATATTTTTAATAAAAGAATTTAAAAAAAGGAAGTAAAGGATTAACAAAAAATAACAAACAAATTTATTTTTTAACTATTTTCCAATATATTTTATTTATTTATGTACTGGTAAAAGGAAATAATCCAAAAAAAAGCCTAAAAATTATTCTATTGAATTTTTTTTAAATTTTTATAACAAAAGAAATTTAATTTAAAAATTATTAAGGTTAAAAAAGAATTAAATAATTAATTTAAATTAAAAACAATTCTGAAAATTTTCAAAATAATTGTATTTGAGAAAAAAATAAATTTTATTCAGGAAATTTTATTTATAAAAAGGATTCCAATTAAATAAATTTGAGTCGACTTATGACAAATTTTTAAACAAAATTTATTTTGAGACATTCAATTTATTTAAAAATATTAAATGTTTCGTTTTGATATATTTTCCATTTTTAGGCTTTGAATGTTAAAGAAAATTTAAAATCAATCAAGGCTAAAAAAATAAATTGAAATTTTTATATAAATTTTTAAAATATATTCCTTTAATTACTCAGATTAATTTAAAGTATTTTAATTTACAAAATATTCAAATAAATATGCAAATACCCGTTCTTTTTATCTAAAAACGGTTGTGTGACTATTAGATTATTGTGAAAAATAAATATACACAATTAAGGCATAATATTAAAAATAAAAATATTTAAATTATTTAAAAGTTATATCTGTATTATATTAAAAACAAGATTTTTCTATTACCAAAAAATTAAAAAAAAATTTTTAGCAGATTTTTCGAAAAATATTTTTAACAAATACAGATAAGTTTCAAGACAAAATTTAGAAGTGAATTTTAAAAATATATTTTAGTTAATTTTGAAAGAAAAAATAAAAATTTTGTTAAAATCAGAGAATCATTTTGCGCTTTTTTGTTGTTTGATAATTTGGTTGAAGTTCGTCGGGTAGACCTATCAAACTGAAATGTTTAATTATATATTTTATTTTTAATTAAAAAATTGTTAAATCAAAGGGAAAAATAAATCTTTTCTCAATTTATATTAAATTAAATTATTAGTAATTTACCTTGGTGAGAACGAGGGCTTCCCGACCTTCCTCTAATATCACAAATGGATGGACTACAAGTTCCACCCGTTCTAACCCCATTTCCATTAGCAAAATATTCTGCACTAGCAGGGGGTTGATGAAAAGCTGAAGCAGAAGCGCTAGAATATCCTGAGGGTATTCTACTAGTTTGTTGTGGACCAAACCCGTAACGTCGAGGTTCGTGTTCCATTTCAACAGCTATATGCCTTAAAAAAGAAGAAAAAGTGAGGAAAGAGGGGTCATTTCTACCTCAATTTAGGAGCGTCAACTGCGGGACAAGGAGGTTCACTGAAAGGCTTCGAAGAAAAATCAGAATGCATTAAATGATGAGTTGGAGTTGATGTTCCTTTAAATGATTTTATATTTAATTTTTTAAAAATCTGTTTATAACTTGATGATTCTATTTGTGGTACCCGTAAAAACGATCGAATTTTGATTAACAAATTGATGAGTAGTAAAGCTGAGAGTAATATTAAAACAGCAATCATTGTGAAGAAAAGAAGGTAAAAGGCCCATGATCCGGGGATCTGTTGGAAAATTTATTTTATTAGAAAGTTAAACGGAAAAAGTCTGTTTGCTCTTAATAATTCAAAGTAATGTGTAAAATAACAAATATAATTCCCCAATCAAAGAATATTCCTCTCCATTTAAAATTATTAGAATAAAAATACCTGTGCAATAGTAGTGTCCACTTGTGAAGTCATTTTATTAGCATCTTTAGCGATTCCAGAAATTGAATCATCAAAAGTTTGTAAAGTAATGTTAATTCTTGAGCTTATACTGCCAACTTGTCCGTTGATTTCCATCTTTTATTTTTTTAATTATTTTTAATAGTTTAGTGTTTATTTTAAATATTTTACAATTATGCATTTTTATTAACTGAATTCATTTTAAATAATACTTTATTAAACTTGATTTGGATGAATATTTAGAGGAAAAATCAAAGATTACGAAAGAGTTAGCGTTTGTGAATGTTCTGATTTTTAACTATAAATTTACTCTTCATTCTGATTCTATTTTATTTATTTAATTCTGATTTGTTAACCTACCACCAACTCTCCAAGTTTAGCTAGTGTATGACTCAATTCACGAATTGTATCATCTACAGACATTTTTATTTTATTTTATTTTTTTATTGCTTTTAAGAAATAAAGAATATATGAAGAAAATAGTTAAAAGAAAAAGAATAAATGCTCTGTTGTTTTAGCATTTTCTTGATTATTTTATAAATAAGGCATTTGTTGTAGTAATAATTTTAGTTATTAATAAATATTTGTAGATATGTATGTTGTATATTTAACTGTAATAATGGAAGAATCTATGTTTATGAAAAACAGGTGTTTGTACACAAAAATAAAAATGATAGTAAATGTCCTAATATAAAAAATTTTAGGACTAGAAAATTAATTGGTTTTGATAATTTGTGAAATTGAGATTTAAAAATGATAAAAAATTTTAGATATAATTAAGAGATAAAGTTTAAGGACATGAGAGGATAATTTCCATAAATTAGAAATAATAGAGATATATGTAGTACATAAGAGTTAATTGTTGATTGTCATAACTTCTTAAGATTTGTCTGATATTAATGTTATTTACTTTACAATGAATATATTTGAGGATTAATTTTTTAATCTGAAATATCTTTATACATTTGTTTTAGAATTGTTGTGCAAATATCCTCAAAAGTAGAGTAGCCGATAAAAAATTTGTAAAAATTTTGTATTCAAAAGTACAAAAATATTCTTCTTAATAATCTTAACACCTTCAATTAAAGATTAAAAGAAATATCAATATTTTAGAGAATTTTTTACAAAAAAACTAGGCTGAACCAACTCATTCCATTTTTAAATGTCATCAATATATTTATTCCATTCCATCCTTATTTGGCCACATTTAAAGAAATAAAAAGGTTTTTTTACAAAACGTCTTTTAACGATCATAAAAACGCTTCTATTTATTGGCCTTTTTCTCTCTTTTTCTTGCTCATTCCCGAGAGGAGCAAATCATCGCTAACAGACAAAATGTTGAGAGAAAAAAAAGGTAGGGGGGGCCTACAAACAAATAATTTTTCAACATTTTCCTTATCCCCCCCCCTCCTTTCCTTTCCTCATTTATTTATTTTTCTTCTTCTACTCTCGTAAAACTCTTCCCCTCCTCTTCACTTTTTCTAAAAGGTAAAGATAGTTGGAAGAAAAAGAAGAATTTATTGTTTGTACAAATTTTTGGCCTATACATATGTTTGAAATCTACATACAAGAGCGGAAGAAGTAAAAAAAAGTAGAGGGGAAAGAATTTCATGAAGAAATTAATTGGAAAATATAGGAGAGAGAAAGTTTACATATTGAAACGTTTTAAATAACAGAGGTGGGTCGGAATTCCGATTTCCAAAAAAAATTCTGATTTCCGATTCCCGACTTTTGAGCCAGTTCCGATTTTTTTGAGCCATCTTCCGATTTCCGACACCTCTGAATGTTCCGACTTATCTCTGTTAAATAATTAAAATTTAGATTTATCTAGAAAAATTTATTTTTGGGAGATTTAATTTTTATATGTATGTACTATATTTATAGACTATGTATGTATATTTTAAAGAAAAGCAAGTCTGAGAAATAAATTTAGAAATAAAATTTATTTAATTAATATTATCAGCAAAATTTAATTTTTAAGATAAAATTAAAATCAAATAAATTTTGTTTTATTCCAAGTATGTTTTGTTAGGAGGTACTTGATAATCAGGTAAAATAATAAATATTAAATTTAATTTTGGCTTAAGTACTTCTCTTCAGAAAATCTTTTTTCAATTCACAATATAAAAAACAATATAAACATTTAAAGAATAATTTTTGTAAAGAAATTTGATCAAAAAGAAATATTTTTAAGAGAAGAAACAATTAAAATAAAAAAAGAAATTATTTTTTGGTTGTCTAGCTTACACAAGTTTGGACAAAGTTATTTTTTAATATTTAAAGATTTAATTAATTTAAAATAAGATTGAAAGTTAAATTGATGCAAGTCACATACACAACTTCAGCGTAAATTTAATTTGCATTTTCTATCCAAATCTCATTCTCGGTTTTGCTAATTTTAAATTAATTTTTGATAAAAATAAAAACTATTTAATCATCAAGTTGAATTTAAATTTAATTTAAGCTTTTAAAGGCAAAAATATTGAATAAAAAGAAAAATTTTTCAAAAGAAAAATAGTAAAAGTATTGAAAAAAGAAAGCATTCTAAAATAATTTATTTTGTAATTTCCACATTAAAAAGGAGAACAAAAATATTTTTAAATTGTATATAACGTTTAATTAGTTTTTTAATTAAATTAAAAATATTTTTTTTAATTTAAAGTTGACGACAGTAAAGAGAAGCTTGCAGAAAAATAAATGTGTAAATAGTGGGTAAATAAAAAGCAACAAATAAGGAAAGAATTTTAACATTTTTATCAATTTAAATACCCAAATAAATATTTTAAATAAAAAATAAAATCAATCAATTTATAAAAGGTAAACTTTAATTGTTTAAATATATTTTTGTTTCTGTAAATAGTGGAAAGGAAAGGAGGGAGGGAGAGGAAGACTGTCGGGAAAATTTGCCCAGCTCTCTATTTATTTCTCCAAAACGCTCATAAAGAATTAAATAAATATTATGACCAGCCGGGAATGAAGGAGGGAAAGAAGAGGAAAAGATAAGAGAACTGACTCAGAAATGGACAAAATGAACAAACTGACTGTAAAAAGGACAAATAAAAATAAAGAAATCGCCGACAAACGTCTTATGCTATTTAATTAGGGGGGGGGGGGGCTTAATAAGGAATTTTATTATCTAGATTCTATTATGCCCTGTTAGAATAATATCTTCAACACTCAATCCGCCTAGGCGTTCATGAATTAGAGTTAAGAAAAAAACTCAAGTTATAATTTTTAAGATAAAAATTTTATAACCAATTTAAAAAAAAGATTAATATAATCAAAAAATATATGAAAAATTCATAAAATTGAATAAAAAATTTTAAATCAGAAAATCAATAATGCGAAAAAATCGCTTCAGAATGATTGTAAACATCATATGAAAAAGGTTTAGCAGAAAGATTATTTCCAAAATTAGTTTCAACAGAAATCTGTTTAAGCTCAATAGTTGGACGCAAATTATTGTCATTTTCTTTCAAGAAAATTCGACTACCTGAAATTTAAAAAAATATAAAGACATTAAAATTAAAGTAAAAATTAATTAATCAAGCCCAAATAATTTGACTAACCAATTCTATTCCCATTTTTAGTAAAAAAACACATAAGAATCAGAAGATTCTTTATTTGGTGGAAAAACAACTCCACAACCAAAAGTATCATCGTCTTTCCAATGGAATTTTTGATAATAAGTTCTTTTAGTTTTTAAATATTGGCAGTTATCATTAGACAAATAAATCTTTGCATTAATATCGTTAAAGCCAATTGCTACATTTCCACTAGAAAATTATTTAGTAAATATTCTTTTGTGAATTTAGACTTAACAATACACTCAGACTTTTTGCTTCAATCTAAATTATGCTCATTTTTCCCCAAATTAATACCTTTTCTCTATAATTTACTCCCACTTGCAAATAGTCATAATTACTCTATTAAAATAATATTTACCTAATTACCACTTTATAACCCTAAGATCTCCTCAATTATATAAAAATCATACACTTTATAAGCCCATTCTTTAATCATAGTTATTTCAAAATAAAACAAAATACGACGACAACAACCCAATTCTTTGTCAAATGAACTTTGCCCATAAGCAGTACAAATATAATTTTTCTCTTTAAAACCTTCATCTTCCTTCCCATTATAATTAATTTTGTCGTTTTCAACGCTAAACATGCCAATTGTAAATGGATAATCAGAAGTATCTATTTTATTCGGAATTGGCACAAAATGCTAAAAGAAAATTTTTAAATAATTTTTAAAAATATTTTTAGTAATTTACCACTTTATTATTTTCTTCGTTAATTTTCTTAAATTCGCTAGTTAATAAAGCGAGTTTGTCGGCATGTGAAATTTTTGGTTGTTCTGTCTTAATTCAATAAATTTATATATAAATAAAAGGTAGATTATTCTCTTCTTAAATTAGTTTGTTTGGTTTACGGTACCATTCAGCGAAAACGGTTCAAATTTTACAATAGAAAGGGTATGATCTACCTGTCTACAAAATTTCATCCCGAAGTCCCACGGACACACAAAAGCCTCTCCTTTGTTAGGGGGATAAACAATTAAAAAAAACTAAATTATAATTCTTATAATTAGCAAACAGGATATTAAAAAACAATCAAATTTTTTGAATAAGAAGTTACTCTAAATTTAAAGATTCCTGTCCCTAAAATTACTCTCTAAAATTAACCCCCCTCAACGTTATATTCAAATTTTTCGGGTTTATTACAATCAAGACTTGAGGAAATATATTTCAAACAAACATACAATAATTTTAATTGTTGAATTTCCCAAAAACATTTGCCCAATTTGTATTAAAAGCAAATTAAATTCTTTCTCATTTGCTGATTTTTCAATTTCTAATTGAGATACTAAATCTTTATTTTTTGTCAATTCATTATTTAATTCTTTAATTTCCTTCTCATCTTCTTCAAAATTACCTTCTTTCTTAACATTTTTATTTTTCTCATTCAAAATTTCCTAAAAATAAAAAATTATTGGGTTGATAATTTTCGTTGAGAACCTCCAAATTTTGTAAACGTTGATTGAAATCTTCTAACATACAAGAAGTAGAACAACAAGAATCACCAGTGATTGATAAATCATTAAAAGATAAAGATGTTTTCTCACTCATTTTTAAATTTTTATTTTTCTTAAAAGTAAAAAAATAATTTTTTAATTAAAACAAAATTTAATTTTAAATTCAACTTAAGAATATATTAAAAACAAAAAAGTAAAATGAGCATTCACGATATAATAGTTTTAGTTTTATTTACTTAAAATTATTCCATAAAACTACAAATAATAAACATTAAAGGTCAATAAAAGAGAACACGCCCCTTTTTATAAAAGAACACGCCCTTTTTAATTAAAAATATTAACATTTACCTTTATTTTTTACTTAATTTTATTAAAGGGAATTCGGAACCTTTCTAGTTAATATGTATGTAATGTTGAAGGATAGATTTTTATTATAAAATTATAACTCATTCTAAATTAATTAAAACATTTAAATCTTCTAATAATTAATACATATTTATCTATATTTTGCAAATATTATTTCTAAAATTAAAAATGAATATTTTCTGTTTATTTTTGTTTAACGTTCACCAGGAGATAAAATAATTTACAAATTTTTAAATAATAAAATTTATAAATGCTTTTGAAATTTAGAAAATAATTATTTAAAATTTAATGAAAATCAATTTTTATTATTCACAACAATGTGAAAATATTTCCAGTTCAACACATTTTGTATTTAAAGGACAGAATTGATCACTGCAATACTTCCCTAAATAAGTTATATTGTAATTGTTTCTTTCATCAAAAATTTGATGGGGTTGTTTTCCATTGGCACATTTTGGATTGAAATTTTTGTTATAAATTTCTGAAAATTAAATATTTTTAATGAAAATTTAACTTTTTTAGTTAATTATTGTTAAATAAATAATTAATAGCTAATTCTTTAAAAATTATTTTTCTTTTATTTTTTTAATTTACCTTCATTTTCAATATCACAACAAATTGAATAAAAAGCCATTCCTCTACATTGAAAACCTTTCGGACACATTTCTATTTTCAATCCAGGATGCCCTCCACAAAATATTTGTTCTCCTTTAGAATTTCTAGCTGAAGGTTTATTACCAGAACACCCACCAAAATCCACTACAAAAATTAATTTTTAAATTAAAAAAATTATTTTTAAAAATCAACTCGGTAAGGGACATCTTTCCCGGCATTCAAAAATTGAAGAAAATTTATTTTCATTTCCTCCACATCCATTATATCCAAAAGCTAAACATTGTAATGTTTTTTCGTCAAAATACCACTTAAAAGTAAATAAAAATTTAATTAACTTTCAAATTATTTTTTTACTTTAATTTTTGTTTCATTTCCATTATTTTCCTTACATAAATTCCCTCTATTTTTAGGTTGTCTACATATTGGATTAGCAATAATAGGGTTGTCATTATTATTTAATTGTGTTGTAGTAGTTAATTTTGGAGGGGAAATTGTTGTTTTGATTGGAAGTGGTGGAGGAGGATGGTGAGGGGGAGGGGGTTTACTTGAAAAAATTATCTTTTATTTAAAATTTTTTTAAAATAATTACCATAAAGAGACATCATTTGCTATTTTTGCTAAAGTCAGATGAAAAATAATTGTGAAAATAAAAATAATTAAATTAAAATTTATTAAAGGATTTAATAAAGAAAATATTTTAGAATTCATTTTAATTTAATAATTTAATTTTTTAATAATTCTGGAAATTAAAATAAAAAAAAATATTTCTAAAATAATTTTTTTGATCTAAAAAATATTTAGATTGTGGGCTTCCAGACTAGAAAGATACTTATTGGAATGTAAAATTAATCAAAAAATAAAGGTTAACAATTTAAAAACAATAGGAAAATCAGTTAGGTAGTTAATGGCCATGAGCTTTCTTCCGGTTATCAAAATTAAATTTTTTAAATAAATAATTTTGTAAGAAATTTATTTTTTATCAAATCATTGTTAAATGAAAATAAAAGAATTTCTGTCTATTTTAGAGGTGAATCAGTTTTTGGGTTTTTGCTGAGACATTGAAAAAGTTTTTTGTCCTTAAGTTTTCAAATTTAGCGAATGAAATTTTAATTATTTAATTTTAATTAAATGTTAGATAAAACAAGAATTTAAATATTAAATAAATTTTTAAATAACTCAAATAAAAATTCAATTTTTAATTTTATTTCCTTTATTTATTTAGTTAACTGAATTATTTTTTAATTAAAAAAAGAGGAAGAAAGCTTATTTTAAATTTTAGTTAAAACTTAAGGAAATTAAAATTATACATTAAAATTAAGGAATTAAATTTATTAAATTTTATTTAAAATTTTTACAATGAGGAAATAAATAAAACTTTTGACAATTTATTTAATTGAAAAAATTTTCTGGAGAAAATCTAAGTATAATATTAAAATATTTTTTGAGAATTAATTTTATATGTATATTTATTTCCACATTGCAATAATTTTAAATAAAAATTAAATAAATTAATTCATTTAATTTTAAAAATTAACTAAATGTTTTAATGAACAATTTTTTGAGAGAAATTGGAGGTTATTAATTAATTATTTTTAATTTTTTATAAAAATTTTGAAGGGCATTATTAAAGTTTTCTGATAGTATATTAATTAATTTTTAAAAACTTCTTTAGTGTCTTTTAATCTACAAATATTTCAGTTCTATAAATAAAATAATTTTTTTATTTTTTAAAAAGAAATAAAATTAATTTTAAAAAATAAATAAAACTATTTTATAAAATTATTTTTTCCCTAAATTACCACAGCATGAGGTAAATAAAAAAGTTTTTTCTTTTAATTGATCAAAAAGTTTGTTAGTTTAATAAAATAAAAAAATAGTTAAGGAAAATGAGCAGAAAAATACTTTAATGTTTGCTAAAAAGAAATAAAAATAAAATTGTTATTACACTAATTTATTGAAATTAAAAGGATGATTAATTAATTTGAAAATTAAAAAAACGTTTTATTTTCTTTTAATTACAAACTTATTTAATAAAACTTTAAATTTTTAGTTTTCATTGGGCAATTTCAACAGAGTTTTCCTGCTTTTAAGAATTCTGGTTCTGATACCTTGTCAGATATCAGAACCCTGTTTATGTGGCTTAGAACCTGGAAGACAGTTTTTACTAGTTTTCATTGCTGACCTTTTTGCATTAAATATCAAATCCCTCTTTTAATTCTCTTTTTTTATTATTTATAATCAAAATTATTTAAAAGGTGAGATTTATTAGAAAATTTAATTTATTTAGGACAGCAATGAGCAAATATTTCTAATTGAATACATTCCTCCTCTTGAGAACAAAATTCATCTACACAAGACTTGCCATAATATTCAGACGGATTTTTGCCATTTTTACATTTTGGTTTATTGCTTGTATTTTTCCAATATATTTCTGAAAATTTAATTTAAAATTAAAATATTTATAAGCTACGTCGGTTTTTAGTATTACAACATTTACGGGAAGGCCATCCGGCAATACATTCATATCCTGTAGGGCACATCCATATTTTATGAGGCCATTTGCCTATATGTTCGCATGGAAATAGTTCTCCATTTTCATTTCCTAGATTACATTCAAGACTAAAATAGTCCAGGTCCGCTAACGAAAAATATTTTTTAATAAATCAAAAAAATATACCAGGAAGAGGACATGTGGTGCGACATTGATCTTCAGATATAAATTTATTCCCATTTCCCCCACATCCTTTATAACCAAAAGGCATGCACAAATATAGTTCTTCATCAAGATACCACTTAAATTATTATATTACTATTATATAATTATTTTTTCCTAAATTGCTAAAGCTCTGAAATTAGCAAAAAAACACATTTTTTACTCAGTTTGTAATGACATTCGTTTCCATATTTTCGTAATTCTTTGGCATTAACAAAATTGTCAACTTTTATTTTTAATAATATACAAACTCTAATTCCAGAATTATTAATTGTTAATCCTTCACCACAATCATAACCTTTATCATAATGTTCATAACAATCTCTCAAATCAAGATTATAGAATTCTAACTTGTCAGAATTACTTAAAAATAACATTTTACTAATTTTTTTTAAGAATTAAAAACCAAAAACTTTCAATAAATGGAATTGGTGATTTCTTTTTAGCTTCTTCTAAAGTAATATTTTTTGAATTAATATTAATTAATAATAAAGAAATTAAATTAATTTTAATTAAAAAATTTTGAAAAGAAAATATAAATTTATTCATTAAATTTATTTAATTTAAAAATCAACTAAAAATTTTATAATTTAATTTTGCTAAATAAATTATTATTCTTTATTAAAAACAATTCACATAAAATATTTTTATAAAAATGATTCATTTTTACTTTAATTACTTTATGTATATTAAATATATGCACATTGTAGTGCTAATTAGAGTTTCATCTGAAGTTCCGATTCCGGTTAAAGAAAGTCCCGGCGTTTTTTGGTTTCGGTTCAGGTCAAAATTTCGGTTCCAGTGAAAACTAGTGCTAATATACACTTGCAGATATACCTTAAAAGTCGAGTACAAATTTTTAAATTTATAATTCTAGTAAATTAGTAATTTGTTAGATAAATTTTTGGCAATTTAAAATTTACTAGAAAACAAATAAAATAAAAATTATTTTAAACAAATTTATTTTGGGCAACAATGTGCAAATATTTCTAATTGGATACATTCTGAATTTAAAGGACAAAATTCATCTTCACAAAACTTTCCAAGATATTCCAAAGCTTTTTTCCCGTTTTTACATTTTCGTTCAGTATTTTTCTTATATATTTCTTTAAATTATTTTATATTATTTTTAAGAATATTAAATACCTAAATTTTTATCGTTACAACAAAGATACACATCAAAAAAACGTATACAAGTATAGCCTGTTGGACATTGATTTAAACTTTGTTGATAACTCGTTTCCATTGGATATTTCATTTCACATTTAGTTAAATTTTCTTCTTTTCCAAGTGAACACAAAAGAAAAATACTAAATGCATCCACTAAAAAATTTTATTTTAAATAATTATATACCTAGTGGTTATATCCTATAAAATAAAAAATAAGATTAATACTATTTCTCTCCTTCAGCTAGTGCAAATGGTTATTCGGGAACGAACCAGTATCTTCAGTAGACCGGACTGGTGTGTTATGTGTTACACCACGCCGCCTACTGCATACCTTAGGAATTAAATAGCTTTATGCTTACAATTATGATTTAAAAAAACAAAAAAGTTTGTTAGTTTAATAAAAATAAAAAATTAGTTAAAGAAAATGAGCAGAAAAAAACTTTAATGTTTGCTAAAAAGAAATAAAAATAAAATTGTTATTACACTAATTTATTGAAATTAAAAGGATGATTAATTAATTTGAAAATTAAAAAAACGTTTTATTTTCTTTTAATTACAAATATATTTATTAGAACTTAAACTTAAAACTTTAAATTTTAATTAACCAATTTCAATATTACTAGTGTTTTCCTATTTTTTAAATAATTATGGTTCTGATACCAATCAAACTCTGTTTATATGGTTTAGAAGCTTGAAGACAATTTTTAAATTCTTTTTATTTTATTAATTTTAATTAAAATTATTTTACAGGTGAAATTTATTCGAGAATTTAATTTATTTAGGACAGCAATGAGCAAATATTTCTAATTGAATACATTCCTCCTCTTGGGAACAAAATTCGTCCTCACAAGACTTTCCGTAATGTTCGGACGGATTTTTGCCATTTTTACATTTTGGTTTATTGCTTGTATTTTTATAATATATTTCTAAAAATTTAATTTAAAATTAAAATATTCAACATACGTTGATTTTTAGTATTACAACATTTAGGGGAAAATAGTCCACCAATACATTCATAGCCTGTAGGGCACGACCATATTTCTTGAGGCCATTCGCCAGATATATATTCGCATATAAATAGTTCTCCATTTTCATCTCCTAGATTACAGCGAAGACTATAATATTCCAGGTCTTCTAAAGAATTATATTTTTCGCTAAATCAAAAGGGGCCGGTATAATACGTGGGCACACAAACTTAATTGAAATATATGCCGGTAAATTCGATTATACAAATGTTAGCTCATTGGATTGTCGGAGGCCTTATGTGATGGGTAGAAACAAACGAAAACCCATAGGAGAGAATATTTTAATTTCAAAAATCAGCCTACTTCCCCTATGGGTTTTCGTCTTAAGGGACTTGTATCTATGCGAGTTTTCGCCTCCTAGAAAAAGGGATTACATATTCGAACTCAGCTCGGCAAATTTAAGACCGTACTTCAAGCATATCTGCGCGAACCTCAAAATTTTTTCGAACTAAACGAAGAACAGTGTGTAGGGAACAAGCCGAAAAAATTCCCGATTTCGGTAAATCGGTGCAGTTCCACGTACTATACTATGTACAGCCAATTAAAAGAACATACGAAGACGAGGGCATTTATTACATTGCCTTCGTGATATAAATCTATTCCCATTTCCCCCACATCCTTTATAACCAAAAGGCAAACACAATTGTAGCTCTTTATCAAGATACCACTTAAATTATTCTTATTATATAATTAAAAGCTTTGAATGAAGGTATCTGACAGCTACAAAATTTCATTAATTTAGAACAAATATTTATTTCTACGGCTGTTACTCGGTTTGAAATGACCTTCGTTACATATTTTTGACAATTTTTTAGCAGTAACAAAATTGTCAACTTTATTTTTAATAATATACAAACTTTCATTCCAGAATTATTAATTGTCAATCCTTCACCACAATCATAAACTTTATCATAATGTTCTCTACAATCGCGCCGGTCAAAATTATAAAATTCTAACTCATCAGAATCACTTAAAAATAAAATTTTATTAATTGTTTCAAATAATAAAAACCAGAAGCTTTCAATAAATGGAATTGGGGATTTCTTTTTAGCTTCTTCTAAAGTAATATTTATTGAAGTAATATTAATTATTAATAAAAAAATTAAATTAATTTTAATCAAAAAATTTTGAAAAGAAAATACAAATTTATTTAAATTCATTAATTTAATTAAAAAAATAAAAAAATCAATCAAAATTTTGTAATTAAATTTTGTAAATATTAAATTATTAATTTACATTAAAAACAATTCCCAAAAAATATTTTTATAAAAATGATTCATTCTTATTTTAATCATAATTAAATATATGCATATTGTAGTACTAATTAAAGTTACATTGTAAGTTCCGATTTCGGGTCTGGAAAGTTCCGGCATTTTTTGGTTTCGGTCCCAGTCAAAATTTCGGTTCCGGTGGAACACTAGAAAATATACTTTAAAATTCGAGTACAAATTTTTAAATATATAATTCTAGTAAACTAGTTATTTGTTTAAATAAATTTTTTGGCAATTTAAAATTTACTAGAAAACAATTAAAATAAAAAAATATTTTTTATCAAATTTATTTTGGACAACAATGTGCAAATAATTCTAATTGGATACATTCTGAATTTAAAGGACAAAATTCATCTTCACAAAACTTTCCAAGATATTCCAAAGCTTTTTTCCCGTTTTTACATTTTGGTTCAGTATTTTTCAAAAATAGTTCTTTAAATCATATTAAATTATTTCTAGAAATATTAAATACCAAAATTTTTATCGTTACAACAAAGATCCATTTCAAGAAAACGTCTACAAGTATATCCTGCTGGGCATTGATTTAAACTTTCTTGATAACCCGTTTCCATTGGATGTTTCATTTTACAATTAGTTAAATCTTCTTCTTTTCCAAGTGAACACAAAAGAAAAATACTAACTGCATCGACTAAAAATTTAATTTTAAATATTATATATGTATAGTAAGAGCGAGGTAAAAGTTTAATCCCGGGCAGGCTTCGATCCTGCAACCTCCTGGCAGTTACTGCTATGTGCTTTTGCTCACCACGTACAGGTGCTCTACCAATATGAGCTACCGGGTCGCTGCTTTCACCTTCTCTTTTATTAGATCTTAAACCACCGCCTAGTGAGCGTTTTAAATGCTAGCCAGTTGGATCATTCTCTTCCTTACAATATTTAGTAGATATACATATTTTATTAAATAAAGAATGAGATTATAATTTAAAAAAAACAAACAAAAATGGAATTCTTACTTGGATAACATTTTCTTAGGCATTCTTTTTCTGTATTAAATTTATTTTTATTTCCCCCACATCCTTTATAACCAAAATTTAAACACATTGCTAAAAAATCATCATAATACCACTTTTAATTAAAGTCCAATTTATTTTCTAAAATTTTAACAAAAAAACTTTAGTTCCATTTTTATTTTCTTTTTCTAATTCATAATCTCTGCATTTATTTCCTTTATCGAAAGGTGCATCACACAAATTACCGTGTAACAAATAAAAATAATTCTTGTTGAAACCGCTATAAAATTATTATTATAAATTTATTTTAAATTAAAAGGAAAAACCAAAAGCTTTCAATAAATGGAATTGGGGATTTCTTTTTAGCTTCTTCTAAAGTAATATTCTTTGTTTGAATTTTATTTGAAAATAAAAAAATAATTAAATTTATTTTAAATAAAATATTTTTTAAAAACATTTTTATTTTTTATTAAATTTTAATAAAAATATGTAGTTTTAAATAAAAATATTAAATAAAAATGAATGAATCATTTTTATTTTTAAATCCATTTTAGAAAAATACTAATCACAAATACAAAATGATCAATTTTAATAAACGATTTTTTAACCTATTTTTTTGATATACACGACTCATGCTTTTTACTTACTAAAAAATCTCTCATAACTCGTATTGAGTCCGAACTTGGAAAAAAATATAAAAATAATCCACATCAGCGATCATGGCTAGGCTCATTCGGGCTACGCTCATTCCATGACGTTGACTTTTACTTAATTCTAAAATTCTTTAATAAAAACAAACACAAAAATTTATTGTTTATTTATTTAAATTCTCAAAAATTAATTTCAAATTTCTTCTATATATTTTATTTTCTAATCATTATTCTTCCTCCTCCTCCTCTTCTTCTTCCTCTTCTTCCTCCACATCTTCCTCTTCTTTTGCTCCATTTTCTTCAGGTTCATCCTCTTCTTCAATTCCAGGACTTTTAGGCTCTCCATCATTTAAGGGTCTAAATTCTAAAATTGTTGGGGGCGGTGGAACATTTGGAAAGCAGGGAAAGGCGTTTTTCTTTAAAAGGAAAGAGTTTTTAATTTTTAAATTAATTTTTAAAATTAATTTTCTACTTTATCATAAAGAGATTTTCTTTCATTAAAATTTCGACGATCAATTTGGCGGTCATATTTGCTGAAAATGGCCACTTTTGGCTGAAAATAAATTTAAAATTGCTTTATAAAATTAATAAAAATTAAAGATAATGTTAAATATTTATTTTTCCATTCCTCATCCAATTTAAAAGGGAATTTTTTAGGGAAAGTTGTAATTTAGTAAAGCTTTTATTGGTTGGGCGGCGTGGTGTAATGGATAACACGTTAGTCCGGTCTACTGAAGATGCTGGTTCGCATCTGAGGTGGGCCGGAACAGTCAGAGGTGTCGGTAATCGGAAGAGCCGGAAATCATAACTAGCTAAAGGAGAGGAATAGCTATGTATAAGCCCAGCTGCTTTACTGTCTTTTTTAAATTTAATAAGAATTCCTCAAAATATTAATTAAAAGATTAATAATTAGATAATCGTGAATAAAAAAATTATTAAAATTTCCTAATTTTTTTTGTTTTTAAATTATTTATTTTACAGGATATCGAGAATTTGCAGAATTTGGGTCCATTCCTTTTGACTGTAATTTTTGTCTATTTATTTGACGTTGTCGTTCATTTAATTCTTTTAACTAAAAATAAATATTTTTTAATTATTCTGTTCAATTTACATCATATTCTTGTGTTTGAAGTCTCTTTTCCAAATCATACTTTTCTGCTTCTAATTTACATATTCTATTATGCATTTCTTTTAATTTTGCCTTTTTTAATTAATTAATTTTTATTTTATTTTTTTAACCAAACTTTTAATTCAGATCCACCTAAAGAAGTTAAATCCCCCAATTGTTTCATAACTTGAGCAACAAAATTCTTTTTGGCTTCTTCTCGTTGATCTTTTGTCATTCCCATTTCCTTTAAATTAATTATTTCTCTTTCAAAATTTTAATAAAACTTTTAAGACGTTCAAAATTGAAAATCTCCGATATTTTAGAAAGAATATTTAGGAAAAATATTTACTCAACTATATATTGCTTTTCAACATAATGATTTTTCTTGGCATTTTGGAAAATTTCTTATTTCTGAGTATCTCTCGGTTCATTCTCTCCTTATCAATCCCTTCCCTATCCCACACATAAAATTACCTGTTTAGCCTGTACAATATTCCCAAATTTCTCGCTTTGATCCTTCTTTTTCTCTGGCAAAATAAAATTACGCCCTCCCGTAGCTAAAAAATATTTTCTTAACAAAATTTTCTAAATATCCCCCAACGTGTTCCAACAGCAAATGGCATTCCTCCCCCCATCATTTGTTGACGTTTCTTCTTTTCCTCTTCTTTTTGCTTACGTTGAGCTTCTAATTTGGCTTTACGTTCTTCCTAAAAAATATTTTAAGCTTAATTTTCACTTTAATTTCCCTTCTTTCACCTCTTCCGCTTTTCTTCTTTCCTCTTCAGCTTTTCGTCTCTCTTCTTGTTCCCTTTCTTCCTCTTCTCTTTGAAGACGTCTTTGTTCTTGCTTCTCTTTTAAAATTCTCAATTCTTCTTCTTCTCTCTCTCTTTCTAATCTTCGACGATCTTCATAATCTTGTAATTTAGCAGCATCGTCTTCTTCCAACCGTTTTTTGGCTGCCTTTTTTAGTTAAAAATTTTAAAATTAATTTTTATATGAAAAGTATGTATTTATATTTACAAGCATAGCCTTTCCAGCTTCAGTCATATTTTCTTCTCCATCTTGTATGTCAATTCTTTCACGGCTTCTTTTTGCATGACTTTAAATGGCGATTTTACAAAAATTAAGTGTAAAATTATTTGACTATAATTTTTTTTGGGTTTCCTCCCCCTATAATGTTCTAATATTTCTATACAAATAATATAAAAAAATCAGGAAAGGGATCGAAGATAAAATTTCTTTCCCCAAAGATTTAGTAGTTTACGGTTATTCTAATTAGATAATTCTGGTAAGAAAATTTTTAATTTATTTACTCTTCTGTTGGTTTTGTAACTTGTTCAGCAACATATTCATCAACTTCAACTTCTTCCTCTTCACTACTTAAAATATTTTTATTTTATTCATTATTAATTGTTTAACTAACTATTCTTCTTCTGACATTGCTTTTTGTATTTAAATTAAAAATAGTAAATAATTAAAGAAATTTGAAATAAATTTATTAAAAAAATTTAACTTTTAAAATTAAAAGAAAAATTAGTTAAATAATTTAATTTAAATAAATTTCTCCTTGTATATTCGATTCTTTAGAACTGGTTTTAAATGAGAGATTAGGGTGATTTTGAATGTCGGCTATAAACAATTTTTATAAGATAAAATTGATTATGTATTAATCAAACATTTGATATATTATGTTTAAATCTAAGGAAGAATAAGTGTAAGAATTACCAAATTAGAGTTTATTCTATCATGTAAATTACAGTAATTTATCTGATTTGATTTTTTGGCAACATTTAAAGTTTAAACTTAACTTACTTATTTGCTTTTAATGCGCAAAGGATTTTAGCGAAAAATAAAGAAAATGAGAAAACTTTAGAACAGTAAAGTGATGTTAAACATGTTGATTTCCTCAATCTCAACAGATCCCCCCAAATTCCTTCTCCTTCTTTTCATTTTTTTAGCTGCTCGTTTTTCGAGTGGGTGGAAGGAATCGGCATTTGTTTACACAAAAAAGTAGCTTATACACAAATCCTCGCCTGATCTTCTGTATTTATTGATTTTATGGAACAGATTTTTTGATATTAGTACATAAAAATGTTAAGAAAATTTGTGTGGAATGTTGTTAAATGGATGGGTATACACAGTAGACATTAAAGTTTAGAGTAATGTTAAAATTCGGAAAAGTTTAAAGTTCGTATAGAATACTTAAAATATTTTAGGGAATAGTATAAATCCGCCGAAAGATGCCTTTCTACACAATAGCTTACTAAATCTTTACTCAAAACTTTTAAAAATTTAAGAGAAGTTTGTTAGTACACTTTGCGATATCTAAACAAGATGTTCGGGTATAACCATGGAAATTTATTATAATTGTCGTAAAACTAGAAATTTTATTTTGATTTTGAGGAAATCCTCACACAATAAACAGACATCACTCACCACGCTCACTTTCTAATAAATGAAGACACAAACATAGATTTAAACAAGAAATTATTGTAAATGTTTGGCTTTCCTGTCTTTTATATATTTTCTGCACTATTTAGTCAGGTTTTTAATGAATTGTAAAAGAAATTCTAACATTGTTGATTTTGTTTTTATATCCTATATTAAATTACAATATTTACACACCCACATATTTTTTATTATTAAGGATTGTAAAAGAAGAAAAAATAATTTTTAAGGAAAATTAGGAATGGTCCGCAAATCTCAGATCCGCAAAACTCGGATCCGCAAATGTTTAATAATCCGTTAATTTTTTAAATTCAGTTGAGGTCGGCATCGAGGAGATTGCTAACTGGATGTAGTAACTAGATAATTGTTCAAAAATTTGTTTCTTTTAAATTTAAAAATAATACAAAAGAGTTTGGCATTTGTACAAAAAGAGTTTGGCATTTTGTAATTTTTATTTTAAGCTTCCAATTTTTTTAATTTTTTCACTTCTTGAAGCGGATTTCTATTGTGATTTTTATTCGCATAAAATGATTAACAGTTAAATAGGTTATGGAATTGACTTCCTTATTTCTGATTCGTTATTAATTTCTTATGTAAACACTTAAATAAATTCGTGGGAAGGGAATTTTTAATAATAAAATTTTCAGCTAAAACTTTTTAACAATCTTAAAAATTAATTGCATTTACCAATCGACAATGCTTAATACCTCTAGTACTACAACTGCGAATGCCTCTTTGCCTACTATGCAAGGGCCAACCGAAAAGTTGAAATATCCATTGGTAACTTGTTTAAAGAAAATATTTAAATGGTAGTTTTGAAGGTTTGTGTCACACCATTTGGGACTATTTCAATCACCATGGCGCATAATGTGAATATTGAAATTAGTTTGGATCGTTCTATTCGTGTCGTATGCTGGAATAAGTTTGCGGTATTTTTTTAAAATTTATTTGTTTACGTTGATATTCTCAAATTTGTTTAACAGATCTCAAGTACTCATAAGGGCTCAAAGTCTGGGATTCTCCATCCATTCGGGCACATACTTCAGGAGGAAGATAAAGTGTTCTGTTATTTTTGTGAGTTGTGAGGACACGAATTACCTCATTTTACCCCAAAATTTGACAGATCCTGGCAATGATAGTAATTTGGAGACGCCAACTAAAAGCGGCATTGGATTGCCAAAACCGAATACTGATACCAATTGGATTCGTACGAACCTGAGTAACCATCCAAAAGTACCTGCTGATTTTATGGTTGGGAATATTGGTATGCCATTGATTAATGATAATGGATTGGCTAATACTCAAGAGGGATCTGTTGTGAATTTGGCGAAAATGGTTAGTGTCTTTTAATTTTTTAAGCAATCTTTAGAAATTGGATTAAGAGTTATTTTAGGGACACGCCCAAGTGGGCGCGCGGCCATGAAGGCACAAAGCCATAACTAGTTGGAAAATTTTATGGCCCTTATATTTTATCAACTTTAATACCAATCTATTTAGCTCGATTAAAGGAATCGTTTAATACTGAATTAGGTAAGATTCGGAAATCCTGAAGCAAGTTTTGGCTTTGCGCTGTTATAGCTGAGCGCCTACTTGAGCTGTACTCTTATTTTAATGTTCAAGTTTCTAAATTTAAATTCGTAGTTTATAACTTTTGTTAATGATTTTCAAGATACTACTCTCACTTTAAGGCAATTCTTGGTACTCAAGGCGTTCTTTTCTCCATGTCTCATTTGAAAGATGCTTTTCTTGTTTCGGCTGCTGCCGCTCGTGGCACTTCTGCTCTCTCTATGGATCGTATTCAATTCCCATCGTTGCGATATGATTATACTCTGCGCCAATTTTATGTTGACTCGCAAGTTTTTGGGTCCTATAATGATTCGGCTGAATATGTAAAAACGTTTAAATTTTGGAAAATAAAAATGTTTAAAATTTCAGCTTCCAAAAGTTTATGCTTGCGATGATATTGTTCACCGTGCAAGATATGAGGAGAAAAGTGGCATGTTATTTAGTGTCAGTATTAATGGTGAGATTTTGGAATATTTAATTCTTTAATAAATTTTGGATGAAACTCCAAAAATTACTCAAAAACTTTAAATCTAAAAAAAATATTCTTTTCAGGTTTTCTGATTCGTCAGAAGCTTGATGGCGATGTTGAAGTATTTTGTCGTCCTCGCCAAATTGTTTGTTCTCCAAGTCAGTCCACTATCCATCTTCGTGGGTCTAATGTTGAAATGGAAGTTCAGGTTTAAAAATAAAGGGATATACTTTATAAAAATTTTTCTTTTAGAGCGATGAGAAAGCTTATGTTAAGTGTGGAGCTAAGCGAGTTCACGTTTCGCGTAGTGGAATGGTCGTTTCTGATGGGAATTGCACTACTTCGATGGACCATATTGGGTTTGTTTCTTCTATGAAAATATTCTTAAACGATCATCTCAAACCCCGGACAACAAGGAAAATGTTGCCTTAAATTTTCCACAATTTTTAGCAAAAAAATTTTTTTATTATATTTGGGAATGGTCATTTAACCCTTTCATATCATTTTATAATTTTTATTAAATTTTAATAATTTTTATTTATACAGGCGCATTGTGTCAGCTTCCTAACTTTCCAAATAAATATTTAATTGCTTGAATGATTGCTGTGGGTATTTGGGTGCATTTTAAAAATAGCTCTTTTATCGTTTCAACTGTGTTTAACTTGAATAATTATTTAAAAAAACTTGTCTCACCAAAAAAAATTTATTTCTCTCTAAAAACTTGAAAAAAATATTTTCCTCTCCACCAAATATTTATTTGTTCATTGGTCTTATAATTAAATTATAATATACACCTATTTATTGTTTATTTTGTTTTGAAATCCTAACATGTTTATGCGTGTAAATTATGAATAAAATGATAATTATTATTTTTTGTATTGAAAGGTTTACAAAGAATTTAGGAGTCCTTGGAGTTGGCTGGATAAAACATAATTTTATTTATAAATAAATTATTTTATATTGGCCCTCAAAATAATACACTCACGGTCAAAAGTTTATTGGTCATAAAATATTACATCAGGTTGGGAATAAAGATAGGTATTTTCAAAAATCGTGGATCTGGATCAGACGTGGGCGAAACGTTTCGTTTCGTTGTTTCGTATGTTTCGTATGATTTTTACTGTTTCGTCTCGTTTCGTTACGAAACACTTTTAAATTTGTTTCGTTTCGTTTCGTTACGAAACACCTGTGATTTTTCAACGAAACGAAACAATTTTTTAAGCCTAAACTAAGGCCAAAATCTATAAAATTTACCATCTTTTATTGAAAATTTAAAAAATTTTCGCCTGCGGCGCTGAAAAAAAAAGAATTTCGGCTTCTTGGCTTTCCCAAATTGTCAAAATTTTCGCCTGCGGCGCTGAAAAAGGAAGATAGCAATTACTTATATACTACAAATCCGTTTATACTCCACTCCCTAATCCACATATACATATTACTTAATCGACGACAAATTCTATTACCGGACTCGCATCATAATTTAAAAATTGCGGATTGCGAGTTGCGGAAATACTGGAACCGGAACTTCCGGCGAAGCACTAGCTTATATCGCCTTCCTCTCGAAATG